AATACCAATTCAAGGAAATAAAAATATACTACAGACATGTGTCTCATATAATAGGACAGAGACAGTGATGGCAATTTACTATTTTCCTAGCAGTCAAATCTTCCCTGAATTTCTGACACATGTTAGAGGCAAAATCTATTCTAGGTAGAGAATTAATAAGGGACAGGGGCCAGAAGGATCTTTACTGCCAGCCAGACTGAAATTCTGCAGGCCCGGGGGAGCAGTCTCAAAGACAGCCATGAATCTTTAACCAGGAACAGCACTTGCTATAAGATAATTATCATGCAGGCAGCAAAAGCTGCAGAACACTTGTAATTTCTGAACTGTTTCAAATAACCTACCCTGTTCTCTTAGTTACAACCTTCCAGTACTCAGTAAGCAACACAACTAACATTTTTTCTTGGTGACAGTGCAACAGGTTGCTATACAGAAAGGTTCTGCTCTGCTGTGTCAATGGGGAAGGGAAAAGCCACAGGCACTTGCTTCAACTGGGTGTGTGGAAGGGAAATAAAAAGAGAAATCAGCCCAGAGTCTATAAACCATAGTCTAATGTGATGGCAACATACTGCCAACATGCTCTCTACCTGAAGGCAGCAGCTCTCATGTTTCAAAAATAGGCTGAGTTCTTGCAGGAAAGGTGTTGCAGGCAATTGTACAAGCTACTATCAGTCAATTGCTCAGTGGCTTTTTGCTTCTCTGTAAAGCAGTGACTCCAGTATGTCCTGCATGCAGCCATTCATTCAAAAAGTGCTAGTACTAGGCTGCAGAAATTTCTTGAAGTGGTAAGGTAGGTGGTCCTCCCATCCTTACTGCACGAGACACAGTAAAGGATTTAATGAAACGGCTGCTATTCTGATTGCATTTCTATAACAACAGATACATAAGACTGAGTTTTTAACTTGCCTGGAGCAATTAATTTTGCTAGATTTTGTATTTTTAAAATGAGGAATTACCTGAACTAAACCATACAAATTGTCTTGTACATAATGAAGTGGGCACTAAGTTATAGAAGAAACTGTTTACCAGGCTTAGAAAATCCTCTATCTGATGGCAGAAACAGTGTATCTATAGAAGGGATCCCTGCCCATGGGCATCTCTGAACTCCAGAAATGCTGCATTTTCTTGTTGCCTTTTCCAATCACACAAATCAAGGATATGTAGAAGAACATCTACAGCCTCCAGACTTCACAGATGTTCTCCTACACCTGGCGTAACTACTGCATTGGTTCCTAAAACAAGGAGGAAAAAAAAAAAAAAAAGACGACAGAATTGCTCCGTGTGTTTCAGTTTGTAGCTGCACCTCATCTTCTTCCTCCTTACCACTTGCCCTCTTAAGGACACATTTTGCCCTCTTAAGGATATATTTTCTACGACTGCTTTGAAGCAGTCACTTTGTCTCCCCCCAGATTCAGTATTTAGTTGTAGATTCTCTGGGCAATTAGAGCGACAAAATGGCAACGCATAAAATACAAATGCCTCCTTCCCTGAAATGCAGTATGAATAGTTTTGTCAGGTCTGCATCACTGGCTGACATTGTTTTTCAGCTTTTTCAAACCCTGTTTTGCTAAAGCATATGTACTTCATGTGCTGCTTTGGCTGGACATGCTCAGATTTCCCAGCTGTGTCCATGTTTTGAGGTCAACTACTTCAACAGAGAAATTTTTTTTCTCTCCAGAGAGAGGAAGAGTACAAAGAACAGAGTCAGGGATATAACAATTCCCCATTATAAGAGGCACCAACACAGCCAGTACTAACTGGCACCCATCTCCATAGAAATGCCATGTACTGTAAGGATAAAGAAAATGAGTTATTATCCTTTAGCCACAGGGGAAGCATCCCCAGGCACAAGGAACAATATGAGCGAGTCTGCATTGCTGCTTCTGCTGTTCCTGTACTATGGCTACAGCAGTGCTTCTCAACATTCATCCCTTGTATCTCTTCCCTCCAGGATACAGTCCATACATTATCTCTCACCCTGACTTTGCAAAGCAGCTGGCAACACATGAGGTGGCTCAGCCTAGCAGCCATGTGCCCCTTCTGTCTGCTACCTGAGTTTTCCACCTCTGCCACCAACCAATGTCTTTTTAGAAGAGTTTCAGCCCCAGTGCTGTTGGAGGTCTTCCTGGCTGTATGTATAATCCCGCCGGTTTTGTATGGACGTTCCCTGGGGCAGGTTCTGCTGTCTTCCAGAGGAACATGCTTTGAGAATTGCTGGGCTACAGACCTAGGATTCTTTATGCCACCATTAAAAAAATGAGATAAAATTTCAAACCCCCCCAACTTTACAGTAGTATTAAATAGAGTGTCCTTCACTTGCACTTCTTCCTCACTCAATACAGCGGCAACCCTCAAACCTAAAGGTACTTGGTGTCATTCAGCAGACAGCTGTGATCATAGAGAATCCCATGACAGTAAATGACGGCCAGTTTCTGGTATGCTTCAAGGTGAAATACTGCAGAATTGCCCCTTAGTAGAAAACCAATTACTTTCACTGGGATCCTCCCCAAGTAATGGCGGTTGTCACTTCTCAGATGTTCAAGATACCAGCTATTTGTACAGCTATTCCACCCTGTCTTCAACATGGAGCTCCTGACAGGTTAGCCACAAGGCACACCACTGTCATTTCAAACTGAAGTTTCTCCAGGCAGAATTCTTCATGACCCTTTTTCATTTGTACTCGGCAAATCACTTGAGAATCAATAGTGACCACCGTGCAGTCTCTTAACTGGCAAATCAACGTCCAAATTCAGCAGTGAAGGGATAAGTCAAAGGTACAAATAAACCTGCACAGCTTAATGTGTGCTCTGTGATATTAGGGGCGGAGCAGCTGAGTCAGTGAACAGCTTCCCCCCCAGAGTCACAGTCTCCAGTCACATCAGGATTGTATTATTTATTAGTGCTGAAAAGGAATGAAAGCAAAGCACTGAGTAGTGCTAAAATAATTAAAATAGTGACATTGCTGGACCAATTTTCTTTGTTCCTCGGGCCTATAGCCACAAGCTTATGATTCTCCTGGGGCTTCCTGCAATCTAAATTGGGTTAAGCTGTGGCAGTGGCTAAAGAAGCCAAGGAGCTAAAGATTAAGCAGGTGGGACTCTTTTCCTTGAGCCAATTCTGACCATATAATATAAGAGAAACAGTAACACCAAACAAGATAGAAAACTAAGGTCCTAAATCATCCAGCCAAGAGACAATTAGGGGATAAGTAGCTGCAGTTCACAGAGAAGTCTGGACTAAATCAGGAAAGCTATGCAAGGTGATGTGAACTGGCAAAGAAATAACTGGATGTACATTTTCCTTGATTCAGAGTACAAAAAGAATAATTTACAAGGAAAAAAAGAGCAAGAGGTGACACAAGGAGGAAGGCACTGGCTACAAGAAATCAAACAAAGGCAGTTCACCCTCCAGTTTATGTTATATGCTCTCTCTTCTTAAAAAAGTTCTTTTTGCTATATCCTCCCCTTCAGACCTTTGGCACCAAGACAAGTGTAATCAGCCCCAGGTCTGTAACTTTCTTACCGGTCACCTTCCTCTCCCCTCCCCTCCTCTCTCAGTATATAATTTCAGATGGTTCGTATTTCATCAGTAAGTTTGGTTCTCAGGCAATAAAAACGCAGCAGCATGTTACAATTAGCAGTGGAGTGCCTGTGCAACTGTACCTGCCTCTAAACCCACAGGAATATAAAGCTAGGCATTGCCAGGCAGGGCCTGAAACCAGGTGCAGACAAAAAGTTAAGATGGGAGGCGATAAAAGGAAACAAGACTTGCTCTTTGGCGTCAGAAGCAACATGTAATGATGGCAAGTTCATGGAGTACTTCGCACAATATGGCAGTGAGAAGAAAGACAGAGGTTGGGGGAAGATGGGATGAAATAAGAAATGTTCAAGGCTCAGGGAAGTCAGAGCCAGGGGGTCAAATACCCGATAGGTGTAAATAAATTGAGAGTTTTAGGCAACAAAAGATGAGTGGGCTGGAGTCAAGGCATCGAGAGGGAACAAATCCTGAAATGCAGCCTTCAGTACTCTAAGACTATTTTAATAGCCTTGGTTCGCTTATTGACTATTTCCTCCAGTATCTTACAACAGCTTATTTTGCACCATCCCACCAACAGAAGTGAAGTCTTTGGGGTGAGAACAAAACTTACCACATCTATGCCACTATATTCAATTACAGTGAATGTTAAGTCGCAAATAAACACAATGGAAATTTCTACTTAAAAGCAGACACACTGATGAAACCATTAATTCTTTACATTCCCTTGTTATTACGTTATCTAAGAGTATTTAATGCCTTGAGCAGGCCATTTATCCACAGACTTCTTGTCTGGACATGGACTGTATTTTGCTGGCTTTGCCTGGGCTAAGGGTTAACATTCATCTGTAGGTATTCAACTGAGTAGAAATACTCAAAGAATTAATCCAAACTAAGCTTCCTATCCCAACCAAACTGACTGTGCATAACAGAGACTCGGTGTATTTGCTTAAAGTTAGCATTTAACAAATTCACAGTGTAAAATCAGTTGACCTTGTGGCCCTTATCCAGTTCCCATTAAAACTACTGAGACCTTTCTCATTGTCTTATCTGGGAGAACTGGACCACTGACAGAAAAGGGCTGGAGCCAGACCTGTGCTGCATACAGGTTTATTTAAGCAATTCTTGTTTCTTAAAAAAGCAGCTTTGTGCATATATTCTTGTCCTTTGCGATGAGGTCAAAGTTACATGATCTGCCCAAGTGAAGTCTGAATCGAAGATATGAAGACAGGAGAAAGTGCTCTCTGGTCTCAGAGGGAGTGACAACACTTTTGTAAAAACTTGTAATCATTGACTTAGTGTTTGCTGTTGCAGCTGTGGATTTAAAGGTGATGGTCAATAAGTAATAGAAAGGGGACACAAGTTTATAAAGAGACACAGCTCCATTACAAAAGCCTGCTATCTCACACAGATCAGTCCCTCCTTACTGACTCACCCTTCTCATCTGCTGCACTGGTTTTCTAAGCAGGATGGGTTTACGTGTTCCAAGGCTCTTTGGCATACAGGCGCTTTACTTTGGTGGTGCCTCTCCTCCTGCCAGAAATGCATCAACTGCACTGCTTCCCCTCACCTGTGATGACACTGCAGTGGAAGAGGCTGCAGATCTGGCTCTGCCAGAGCAGTGTTGACCAAAAAGAGGGCTACATACTTAGTCTCTACCAAATTTTCAGTGTCTGAAAACATCCTCGGGTAAGCTACCTGCTTGTTCTGTATCTATTTCTCCCACTCCAAGAGCCCTGTGTCTGTCACTATTTCTTAGCAATATCTCTTTGAACTAAGAAATATTTCAAAAGACAAATGTAAAGTTACAATCACAGGACTCCAGAGGCCATGTCAACTTTATGCACAGATGACTAGAAACAGTTTCATCACCACTGTGGGCAATTAGAGAGCAAATCTCAGTCACGATTCTCTGCTGCCTGCCCCTGGAATAGCTCCAGGCATCAATTCAAATTTGGTATGAAACACCACTACTCTGATTTAATTTCATTTTACACCTTCCTCCCACTGCCTTGAGCAGTTGGAGTGCAAAGGCTATTAAGTCATCGTGCATTTTGCACAAAAGGTGTAAGCACTAACAGGTGTAAACACATCCAGCTTGGGACCAGGGAATTCCTTCACAGACCTCTAAATGATGACTCATTCTCCAGCAGAAATCTGAAACCAGTTCAAGTGCAAAAATTATACTGGAAATACCTATGGAATATAACTCTCATATCCTCAAGTATCTTATTTCTCTCTGTGTGCTTCATTATTATTTTGTGTTACAATAGCTGAATCTACTGGCACTGGCCAGGAACAACTTGAAATGAGTGCACAAGGCCCACAGCACACACGGCACTGTGGAAACATGCTACTAACACTCCCTGCCATGCTTGCTCACTTCCCATAATCTTACCTGAAAGGCTAATTTCCAAACCCTTAAAAAAAAATCAGGCTTATTGCTAGATGTTTAAAGATCTGAACTGGCAAGGATATGACACTACTTCCTGCTGCTCTCACAAGGACATAGTTTCTGCAGTCACGCTCTGGTCTCCAGCAATCTGAGATCTCACAACTAAAGATGCAGACTGTGCTGTGTTTTGCACTATGTTCTCTATATTGCTTTGCTCAGGTGTCAGAATGTGCCCACTAAGCAACTGGATCAGGTCCCTTGAGAATTTTTTCCACATAGGATGACTCTGAGCTGGCCCAGAAGCCACATCACTAGTCATGGAGTTAGGTACTTAGCCCCCCATCCTGAGGCTATTTCCTACTGACAGTAGTTAGAGGATGCCTGTGACCACCCTAGAGTGCAGCATGGTGGGTGCAGACATGCTGAAAAACACTTCATTCATCTCCCTGCTTCCCCCTTCTCCTGTGCCAAGTATATCTCAACACAGAAGAATTCTGGTCCTTGTTTGTGGTTTGATCTGTCACTTAATTCCCTAGAGACTCAACTTATTGCCTTAGGGCATTTGTCATTTGGGGGTTTAATTTACTTTTATTCTTATATTTTGCATCTAATACACTTATCCTGTTAATAAGGTGTTTCAAGACACTGTAACAACAAACTAGACAACCTAAGTCCTTTGTCACATTTTTGCTGCTGCTGGGACTGAATACATAAGGAGCAGTCAGCTACACCAGGGATATTCATGGACAGTAACAATCCTATGCAACCTTCTATTCACCTCAAAAAAATCAAGAGTTGGTTTTTGTATCAGTCAGTGGTCCTTCCTCTCATTTTTTTAGCCAACACTCAGGATAAAAACATTTTCAAAGTTACTTCAAATTCAAACCTGCCCTTAAGCAACCTGTGGTTCAGTTTTGCTCTAATTGAAACTAATGAGCCATCTGCTATTAACTTACATGCAAGTAGGACAGAGCCTTTCTCTCATACGAGATGCTCGTGATTAACTTCACTGACAGGCACTTAACCAAAATTACAAAACATACCAAAATATTTAATTTCTTTCCCTTGCACAGGTCACCCTGCTACAAAGGCAATGCTGTGCTGCTGCTGCATCTCTTCTGTCCCCCAGGCTCCCCAGCCTGCATTGCAGCATCAATCCCAGCATCAGCAGCACTGAGGAAGGGATCTTTTTGACAATGCAGAAAAAAGGTTTTTTTCAATACTAAGCAGATGTCAAAAAGGCCTTTTCATAACGATCTTTTAATGAAAATTAAAATAATGATGATGAAACCTTCAGAGATCTGCTGAGCTCTGAATAAACCCCAAATTATCCTTTCCCCAACGGAGGATGTTACATGCAGAATCAGGTAGACAAAAAGATGTGTAGATTTTATAATAACCTCATCCATGTATGAGACCTGATATTACACATTAGAGCTACAGGCAACAGGAAATACAGTTGGGTCCACCCTGGTTGCATTTAGTATTTCCAAGATCACCGAGCTTTACAATCAGACTTCATGATTCAGCTGAGTAAAGCCATCTACCATCAAACACATTTGATTATAAGAACATTTCTTTAATGAGATATGTGTGTGCTTTTGCCTCCAGAATACCCAAACAATCAACTTGAAAGCTCAAGTCACCAGTCCCAACTTTGGAACACTTTAAAGATACACATTTTTCTTGGCTATTACTTCTTCAGCAAGTTAGATATATTTGAAGTTACAAGGCTGTACCACATGCTGCACTACCCAAAAAACACAGTTTTGTGAAATGGCAATTACTCTTTGGCCAGTCCCAGTTTCTGTTTACTGATGTAACCTGTATTACCTACCATATTAAGGAGACCTGTCATCATGGTATTTAGGTACCTGGTACATAAACAGATTTCTATTAGTTCCTTCCACAGAAGGATCTATGCAGCCAGGTGTGGGGATACTGCCACACTGCTGCACCTCAGCTTCACTCTTTGTCAAAATAGCTTTTGATCTTTTCACAGCCTTCAAAATTACACTTATAATTAAACCTCAGGATTAGTATAGATAAACCTTGAGAGCTCAGCGCAAGGCACTGCCAGATTACTTCTTTGAACACTTAGGGAAAAAAGAGGATATGAAAATATAAAAAATGGTATAAACCATGATACATTGCATATGTAAGAATATAACTTAGAGACAAAGGTAACAAAACAATTTACTCATTCTTTCTATTTATTTTCTATTTATTTTGCTCTTTTATATTTAAAGGGTTTAATATTACAAGTATATATGGTAGAGCTCACATAGAATCACTACCCCAGCCTCTTTCTCGAGGTCTCTATACTGTGTGACTAGAATAGTTTGCATCACTTGGTCTCCTCAGAACTCAAGAACAGATATTTCTTAGTAGTATAAGAAAGTACTACTTCCAAGTAATATAAAAAAAAAAAGCCAGGAGTAGTCCAGCCTTCAGATGCGCTATTGACTGGTCTTTAGTTGCTGTTAAACAGAAATCAAAACTGAAGCCAAAACTGTACAGATACTGGTCCCAGACTCTTACAAGACTCTTGCCCCATAAAGCATTTGCTCCATATACCAGTGAAATCAACTAGGAATGAATGAATACTGCTCTCATGCAGTTTTGTCTTTTTCTTCCTCTTCAGCAAAGACATAACCTCAGCCTAAACATACAGTTAACACTCACATCTAAATTCATTAGGATGTATAAATGACAGCAGATCTCTTCTCAGCTTTCCACTACAGAAAATAAAATACGATCTTATTAAACTGTATCCTTGATAAATATCCTGGAAAGGTGCTTACCTGTATCTACAGTGGAAGGAGAACAAGGAGCTGCACCATGCAGCAGCTCATCTTTCTGTACTACATGATGTAATCACTAGCTATATGGAGCTGTTCTTTTAGTCTTTCCCTGTCCCTCTCTCATGGAAATATGTTTGCCCGAAAGTTGAGCCCTAACTCTTTGTGCTCCTGTGCTACAGTCAGCTGAACAAAAGTTTCTGGACTTAAGCACAGGCTCAGAACTCAAGCACTAGATTCAGAGTTTGAGTCAGAGACATTCATGTAGATAGGCAAGTTCTCTCATATCACTTTCTGATATCTGAGAGAATATTTAAGTTGTCTGCATCAACACAGTCATTGCCTCTCTACAGCAAGTGCAAAGCATCCATGTTTGAAGAAGACACTACTCTTAAGAAATAAAATATTTCTGTTTCTAAAGCCTACTGGGAATGTTCCATGTTAGCAGTTTCTAATTATTTGTGGTATTTATCGTCTCGTTCTTAATGAAGCCAAAAGAACCTACCTTTCAAATCTAATCATAAAATGCAGTTGACAGCGAAAACATCACCATGTTTAGTCCTTATTCTCGGGTTCTGGTTCATGCCAGAACCAGAAGGATAAAACTGACTCTAAAAGGCTGTTCTTTAATTAAAGCTGGCTGGATGCATGACCAAGCCTGTTCTAACAGGGCCCAAATCTCACACACTTTGCCACCATCAAGAATTTGTCCCATAGGGTGTTCATTTTTCACAGTATCTGTGTGTCCCACCCATGTGTTTTGTGTTTCTCCATCTCTCCCTTTTATGTGTCCCTACTTTGTTCTATACAAAACTGGGGTATGAGCCTTTCTTTTTTTATTTGCAGATCACTGGTTCTGTTTTCTATCTCATCTTGGATGTAGTAGATACTGAATGCCATGTACTCAGCAAAAAGCTGTGGAAGAACTGTAGAGTCAGATTTGCTCATACAGTTGTAAGAATTTTATTTTCTTATTTAATCTTAGATATAATGAGCTACTCAGGTACTACTGATCACAGCAAAATCCCTACACATGCTTTCAGTAGGCTGAAGAGGTTAGAATAAATTAAACCCCATTTTATAAGGCCCACAGTTTTCCTCTGTACTTGAGTCAGTTTATAGACTGGTAAGATTTATTTTTAAAAATGAAAATTAAAAGAACGTTTTTAACCAAAACTAATAAGCAGACATAACTAAATAGTCATGCTAGGACACTATTTAGGATAAAAGGTTTACTTTTTATAGCAACCCTCTAAGAGTTTATTTTAAAGACAGTCTGTCAAGAAGGGAATAAAAGAAACTCACTTTTATATAACATGCGAATTTTGGTTTAGTTTAATTCCACTTTTATTCTGACAACTTTGCAAAAATTGTACTGAAAGAGGAGAAAAAAAGAAAGCTCAGCAAGAGAAGCTGCAAAGACAGAAAGTGATCTAAGACTGTTGCTACAGGTGACCAAAACGATTCTGAACGAGTGAAAAAAACTTGTAAAATGAAGAATGATAAGAAAGAAGTTTCACATGAAAAGAAAAGAAATTATTATTAAATTGTCCTGGACTGCTTCTTAGGTCAGTTTTCATTTTTAAATGAAAAACTGTAAAAAAAAATAAATCTGCTTACAGTGCTTTCAGCAGGAAAAGGGTGCAAAGAATATCTGGTCAATATGGCTTCTGTGAAATAAGGTTTATTCTGTGAACAATGGCTTCTGTGAAATCAAGAAATGTGTGTGCTAGAAGCCTTGACCATAAAGGTGGCAATATTTAAGAAGCACTCAGAGAATATACATTGAACTTTTAAACATAAAGGCATATGGATAAAAACATCATGGATAGTAATAGGCCAGTATTTTTTTCTGCCATAAAGTAAGAGTTTCTTTGTGTGCAAGGGTGATCTTACTGTGCCACTAAACTGGTTTAGGGTCTTTCCTACCACTCCTGTTCCTTACTATGGACACAGGGAGAAGGAGTAAGGTGGAAGATCAACGACTGGATCCAGACACTGAGCTGAGCTCTCTGGGTTCTAGTGTGGGAAGCCTGGCCAGGGAAAGCACTCTGTGACACTTGGGCACTCCTTAGCTGCCAGAAGAGTGGCCTTGTGTAGGGCTTCCTGCAGTCAAGCACTGCACCTGGATAGCTCACAATTACACTGGGGAAGATCTGACCTTTAAAGGAGATGCTTAGAAATGTGCTTCATTGTCATTTGATTATTAATACAACTTTTTTTTTCTTGCAAAGAATTTCATGATTGCAAGGGGAAAATGAACCACCCACTCACTAGGTACTAGATGATCAGTGCAAAGCGTGCAATATTAATTGTTTCTAAATGTTTATATTGTTTAGGTTTACGGTCAATGCAAAGCAATTATCTACATTAATCAGGCAAGAAATATTGCTCATCTAAATACTTATGAGTGCATTTTACAACCAGGTATGTCTTTATTTAACACACTTACTTTAAATGAGACTAGAAAAACACTCTTTACCATATAGCATTACTTTAAACTTTAATTGTAATTACGGCACCACAGCATCTTCATTACCTTTCAGCTGCCCTAATTTTCTCAAGTCAGTGATCATAAGGCCAGTGCAGTGCTGCAGCTCAAAGCCGTGCAGTAATAATTGTTTTCATCTCTGGTAAACCCAGCATAGCCTCTACATGGGCTCTTACCCTCTGGTCCAAAAAGCATTTTTATGGGTTTCTGAAAGGCAAGTGAGAACAGCAAGGCCACTGTCAGTAGGCTAAGCTTTTTTCTGCAGTGTCTTTGCCTCCACTCTAACATTTTTATGGGTCTGTAAATTCATAAAGATTCAAAATCATTAAGTGAATCAAGCCACATATTGTTATTCTGGGGGACTGCAGGACAAGTGGATACAGTTGGGGCATAGATGCATTTACAGTGACCTACACTATCAACATGCTCTGATGGTTATGCTTTCTCTAATGACATTGTTTTGTTTGAATAAAAAGTTCCACACAGATGTATTTGGACAGTATGTCCTGACTGCCCAGCTGATGACTGTCCAACCGAGCCCAAATATTTGGAGGCTGCTGTTCAAAGCCTTGCCAAGTTCAATGAAGATAGTGAACAAATTCATTCTTTTTCTGACTTCAGTGTCACAAGAACTTCAATGCAGGTAAGCCAAAGCTCATCTGACTTGCTTTAGCCCTCAAGGAGTATGCATCCACTTGTTTTACTTTATATGATTTGTTATGTCTTACAGATCCTTTACAATTTGTATCTGTTTAGTACAGAGAATACTTCTTTGCAGAATTCTCCCAGGAAATGAGCATCTGCATTGATCCAAGACTTTGACTCCATTTACTGCAAAAAGAAGGGCTTTATGTAAAACTCAAGACACAGATTTGCAAAGTTTAAGAAAGCTTCACTGTGAGCTCTGTCTTCTGCCACCACCATGAATTAGTGACTCCCTAGTAGAAAGTATTAAATAAAGAACAGTCATCTCTTCCAACACATACCTATAACTCACTGAATGAGTTTAAACATGGCTGAAAACTAATTTTCAGAGTTAATGATATCCTGGGTAGATTCCATTTGTTTACCACAGTAATATCCAGTCTATCTAAAATTCATTATGTATAGATAACAAGGTGGTTTTCACTCTTTGTCTCAAACTATTAGATAGTACAATATAGTATTTAATCGCTCCCATTTTCCAACCCTTGAGGTATTTGCATTTCAGAAATAGAAAAAGTGATCCTGTTCATTAAAGCAGCCAGATATTATCCACAAGACATTGAAGAGGGTCTTTGGATATGTAGTTCTATGTGGATGCTAACTTATTACAAAACCCAAACTCATTTCAGCTACAGCTAATCCAGGAGTTACTAAAATTGTGCATATATTAGTAAAAAGCAACCAGGCAATAAAGCAACAAATCATTCTCCTGTAATACAACTAACAGTAATGTCCCAAGCATAACCTGCTCTTCCACAGTTAGCAGAAGTGTTACATCTCTTTCAAGGTCTGTAGGATTCTTCCTTCTTCCTGACAGATGGCACGAGGTCTAATTGCCACTGGTCTCTCATTAACAGTGGGTCATTGGTCCTGCATATTTTGTAGAGTTTTTAACTCGGCAGACATCATGCTCCAAAACTGACACAATTGCTGACATCTCCAAGTGCAAGCCACTCCCATCAGAACTAGCTGTAAGTATTTTTCCTTGTATAAACACTTATTTTTCATATACTATAATTCCTTAGTGAATACTTAGCCTATCCCTTTGGTTCTTAGCAGACAAGGATCAAAGCCCACAGGTGTCTTTTTATGGGTTATAGCTCAATACTGTCTTTCATCTGTACAAACTGCTTTAGAATAGAGAATACATTTCAGTAAAAGTTCTGAGTTCTTACCTAGAAGACCATGAATAAAGAAAACAGAAAAAAACACCATCCAGAAAAAGGCGGGGTAGCCATTGCCTTACAAAACTGAATCATTCTTAAGGATTTCTTCCGAGTAAACAGACACAGACGATAAATCACAAACAATGCATAAAGTACTACAATCAGATCAGCTAAGGAAAACATTTATGAACTCCAGAAAAAATTATAAGAGAAACTGAAAGTCTAAATGGGCATGCTGCCAAGAGGTAAGAATTCAAGCCTCATCTGAACTGAGCTCCAAGCCATGTTACCTACAGCCCAGTAAAAACACAACTATTAGAAACAACATTTTTTCACAGTTTCTTTCACTAGTATGGTATGAAATTGGTTTTGCCTGAAAAATGGTATTATGTTCTATTATAAACTTGCCTGCATGGATATATTCTGCTGCAGCAGCGCTTAAGTGTGCTGTTATAGCTGGGCCTTAAGTAGCCAGCTTAGTTTTACTATCATGTTACCTAACCCTCCTTTGCAAACATAAAGCCTTTTTTCAAAATGCGGCCTGTCTTTGTGAGCTTGTCAATCCCAAAATAAAAGTTTGCCCAAGCTGCTTATCCCTACAAATACGTGTAGAAGCTATAACTATTCAGCCTTTCATAATCACTTATTTGACAAGATAGGAGCTAAGTATCAGTGCTACAATGTGAAAAAAATGCTTGCATTTTCTTCTTCCAGCAGATAGATCTCTGCAAAAGCTCTGTAGTAACAGTCACTTGGAACATGAACGATTTGTCACAATATCCTGTGAAATCTACAGTCTGCAGGTATTTGTTAATCTAATCTTAATATTGCAAGAGTAATAGTCCTTTACAAAACAAGAATTGAACTCTTGAAAGCCCAGCCATTTTTAACTCTTCTTATTCACAAAGATATGGGCTTCAAGAAAGTGATAAGGCCAAATCAGGAATAAATCTCTCTTGTGCTAGGTGGATAAAAAGGCAATAGAATAAGTATAGAGTCAATCATACAGAATGTGCTCAGAATGTTCTATAAAGAAATTGTAAATAACAAAAGGAATACAAAGAGCAATAACTGCGTAGTTACTCAACTTTCATGCACCAACCTCCACTGGCATAAGAAGTAGTTACATCTGTCTATCCTTTGAGCTTCTATTCTGCAGCTATTTTTTGCAGCTGGAGTTGCAGCAGATCCTTAGTGTGAAAGGTGACCTTCATATCTGAAAGAATTTGGAATAGCTTCAATATAGGTAATGCTTACTGTCTGTTATTTAGGATCCTGCCACTGAAGAGAGGAAACTGCAAGCTATCCAGACATCTGGAAACCCAGCCAGAATCATCAACAAACTTTCCCTTCAGAAACTGATCCTTTCTCCCCACACCTAGAAAAACCAGTGGGCTCAGTTAAAATTCTAGCCCCTTCAACTGAGGACATCTCTTTCCAAAACCTAACAGAAAGTTAGAATGAACATAAAGATCGAAAGCCAGTTCCACCTGAGACTGCAGGATCTGCGCCCAGTTTTGACAGAGTAGACTCAGTAGACAAACAAGACTTGACCAAACCAGTTGCTGGACTGGTTATTCTCCCTTTTCCTGAAGAATTTTCTCTATCAGAATCATGCCCAGGGGAAGCGAAGGTGATAAATTCTATCCTTCAGCCTTTGCTACCTAAAAAGCCTACCAAAGTGTAGCCAGCATCCAGTCACCTCAACTACCTGCAACAAAATAACAGCCACAACGGCAACCTGGTCTTTCAATTTGTGTAATATCTTTAAATAAACAAAATGCTTATTACAATTTCATCTTTGGAGTTCTCAGTTTTAAGAAAGCACAAGAATAGATTAGAAAAAGAAATTTAACTGGAGCATTTTCCAACAAAATAATTTGGATTTTAATTCTAAAATTCCTCCCATCAATAAGAGCATACAGGAAAGGTAACTGAGGAGGGTAAAAGAACTTGGAGGGCTGAGACAGCCCAAAGGCATCAGAAAAAAGTACCCTCGGTAGCAAAAGTCTGTCAGGGCACCGTGCGGGCTGGCTGCTGCGCAGGGGACGTGAGAGGGAGCCGAGCGTGATGAGCAGGCTGGCAGGGCAGGGTCTGTGCCGTGGTACCTGGGCGAGGCGAGCAGGGACGGCAGCCGGGTTCCAGGGAGAGGCCAGATCACCCCGTGAGCTCATGGGCGGTGAGGCAGGCCTGAGGTGATGCCAGGAACAGGAGCTAGCAAGTCAGGGACGGTATCTGGTCTGATTATGGTAACCAGAGTCAGACAGAGCCCAGGGATCTCCACGCAAGTCCACGGTGATGAGGCAGGTCGGAGCTCAGGCCAGGAAGACAGGCTGTGGGTCCGGATCTGGTCTGGATCAGCAGGGCCCACGGCCAGGCACGGTCCTGTACCTCAGGCAGGGCCACAGTGCCACAGCCGCAGCTTAGGGCAGCTCTGCGGGAAGCAGGTGGGGTTGGCCCTGGCTGTGGCCTCCCCACAGCGCTCCCCGGGAGCCTGTCCCCAAGGCCACCGAGGGACGGGGCACAGCCCCAGCCCGTGCTGTCACTGCGCTGGCCCTGAGCCCTGGCATCCAAGGAGGGGGGATGCTCCGAGCGCCCCGAGTCACACCCGGAGTAATGGTGTATCAACAGGGAAGAGGACTTCAACGCTGTCTAGCATTAAAAGCTAGTGGGCTTTTATTATTTTATGGGTTAACTTCTTAATTAAAATGTGATGAGCTTAGCCTATTTTTTTATTTCCCCTGGAAGATCTCAAGAAAGATTCTTTCTTTCCTAATGCTTTATACCCTCGCTTAAAGAAAGTGGAAAAGGCTATGCATGCGTGGAACCTCTGCACATAATTCTGGCTGGCGGAGAATCAAGCCCACGCTAATCAGATTCTTCTGTTTTACTGACCCTGCTGTGCAGGAAAAATGATGATTTACAAAATCAGCCTAATTCTTCCTTGAGATAGGTCATATTAACTGCTTTATAATAAAAACCACAGGGACACTCTACAGCCTGTAGCTAAGAAAAATCAATTTCACTAAAGCCAGACATAGCAACTGTACTGACAACAACAAATATAAATAAAAGAAGAAGAAGAGTGAACATGGGAAAGAAATGGCATTTGTGGCCAGGATTACACTGATATTTGCAATAATTATGGGGTTCATATAACACTACAGAGCCTTTCTCCAGTTGCCAGATCTGTAAAATCATTTGTACAAAAAAACCCCCATCAATAAAATATTGTTTCTGAAGCTTTTATGCTGTTGAATGATCCCTAGAGACACTGGATAATTTTTCCATTCAAAGAGTCTTTCAACAAAAAATTATGGTTTTGTTAAAGTATTCTGGCATTAAGAAATTTGATTAAAATGTATTCTTTTATTACTATAAATAAAATATAAATAAAAGTATTATTTTGAGTGGAGACAAAATAATATTGAAATACTGTATGGAGTTATGTTCACAACAAATATGCGTGTTTTTTCAGTTTGCAAAACTTTAAAACATACATTTTATATAAAGGAGTAATTTAATTGCTTCAAAGATTAAAATAAGCCAGAAAGTGCTATGTGAAACACATCAACAGAGCCAAAAATTTCAATTCCACATCATGAGAAATTTCAACATATTTTGATTTCATTCATTTCATTGTGGAAAACAATTCAAAATCAGGTAGTTTGCCAAAAATCATAAAGTTCAAATTCTATCCAATTTTTATCACAGTATGAGCTCTAGGCTTTGTCAGCATTCTCCTTTTTATCAAGTCATCAAATTACAGCATCTTGTTTTTCCCTTGGGAAGTTTCACCTTTGCCAGCTCAGGTTTCCCTAACACAACCAATGTGTTGTAGCTCCCTGCACAGGTGTCACTCCATGTCCTCAGACAGAGCAGGGCTGGCTTTAGTGACAAGAGCATTGGGGCAAGAGACTGTCACACTTCAGTGATTTTCAAAATGCTTTTTTTTGCCCCTCTCTTCAGTTAATCCCCATACTTCTCACTTCTGCTATTTAATAATGTGATTTATTTTATTAACTGTTTGCATGTTGATTCTAATCTCACTGTGGCTCCATCAGTTTAATGACATTACTGAGATTTATAACAACATATGTAACTGGATTGTTCCCCAAAAGGAGTACTGGTGAAGAAATCTTCTTCATTAACTGCTGGCCACAGCCAAGAATACCCTGTTTCACTTAGTTCTCTTTCTTGACTACAGCTTCTTATAATAGTAAATTGAGCAGGAACAGCAGCAAGTGAAGATAAATGGAGTTGGTGTGAACATAAACAGGGGGAGTTAAAGAGAACATCTGAAAGGTCTGGATCCCCAGTTTTGAGTCTTGAGTTTGAATACTGTTTAGCCTCTTCCACAGGCAAGGCTCACAAATTACATCAATACTTTCTCTAGCTTGGATCTGAGATTTGGCTTCAAAGACTTCTATGATTCAAAAATAAATACCAGAAGGGGTGTTTATCTGAGCGGTAACTGTATCTACAGCGCAGACCAGCAAGCATCAGTGGTCAGTGCAGATTCATGGGCATTTCCTTTATTTGCTGTGGCCACTCCAGCACAGAAATTCCTGTACCCAGCTTTCAGCGTCACCTAGGCCACCACCAGTGTTTACCATAATTGAGGCCCGGTACTAATGTGCAAAACTCATTTCTTGAACTACAAGTAGAAGACTGAAGATGTAAAGTTTCTCAGTTTCCTTTGACCTCAGGGCATACCTGGACACTGCCACACTCCCAGATGGCACTGATAACAGCTGATAACGTTTAGTCATCACTACTTCAACTCCTGCTGCTGATTGAGCACATTCGTGCCAGTCTGTGAGTGGGCCAGCACTGCAGCTTTCTCCCTCCAACATGCCCCCCCGGACAGATAAGGGCACAGGAGGCAATGCATCTGGTCTGCACACATGCGCTTTATGTGACCGCATGATCACACAGGACTGCAGCAAATCCTCTAAACCACATGCCCAGATAGTGCCCAACCTCTCCATCTCTGGCCTGATCTCTCACCTTCTAGCCAAACTCAGCAAAACAGCTGGAAGTAACACACCCTGTGTACCTTCAGTCACACCCATTCAAATGCTCTTGTCTCCTCCCAGGACTCTGAACTGATAAGAGCCGCTTCTCCTTGTCCAGTAGAGAACAGAAGCCCTCCAGCCAGCCACCGGAGATGAGAAGTGAATGGATTTTGGCAGACAACTCCCAATTCACTTTTCAATTTAATTTCACTTCACAGTTTTTCAATGATTATTTATTTTATGATATTATATCATCCATTATCAACTTGCTACCTGGGCAATGTCCAGCTAAAATCTGGTCTGATGTTTATTTTAACAAACATTCCAGTTTCACATAGACAATGATTTTTATTCAGGCACAGATAACCAGTGGTCAGTGACCTCCAGGACTGTTGACATTTTTACCAGATATTATCAAGCCTTTATCTCTGAATATAGGTGAGGCATCATGAATGCAAAAAAAAAAAAAGGGGCAGTAACATCCAAAGGGTACAGAATAAGATTTGCTGACTTATTTATGCATACACTGGCTATGCACGTGTTTAGATTTTTACCCTTCTCCTACACTCATCCTTGGCCAATCAAAAAGATTTAAAAAAGCAAGGCCCAGACATCAAAGTTCTCAAGGCGAGTTTAAAAAAATCAAGGTTTTAATAAAGTTAATTATAAATGCTAATTGTCTGTCTTCAGAACCTGCCCATTGTACACACTTCAGGGTTAAACATTTACTTCTGCATCTCTGAGATTATACATGTTAGAGCATTAAGACCCCATTCTTAACAGCAAATTCTTAACCCTCCTTTTTCCCCAGCTTCTCAAGCCCCTCAGCAAACAGGTCAGTCTTCCAACATATCCTTAAGGTCAACAACTTGCAATTAGGGTGTTTTTTCTAGAAAGCAATTTGCAGCCAAAGACTCTGAGGACAAGACAAGGAATACTGACACCCTTTTCATTCCCTGTATTAGTTCTTGAGGCCTCCTAAGCAACAAGACTTCTGTAAATACATTGTCAGCCTGCTCACTTGACAGTTGGTCTCCTCCAAACAGCTTTTGAACTTAAGGTCTGTTTGAATGAAATTTGATAGACAAGGTGATGAAGCTTCTAAAAGTTTGTTAAAAAACCTGATGACTGGTAAAGAAAAATAGGCTGCAGGCAGGGAGAAGAAGCTGAAAACCATAAGCAATGTAAATTTGTCTAATATTGCCCTTGCATCAGGGGGCACCCTGTTTACATCCAGCAGATAAGGATGAGACATGAAGGAAGACATGATGCATTTATATACTTTCCCATCACAGATGGGGGCATTTCTGTTAAATGCAGTTTTTTTTTTTTTTTTTTTTTTTTAATCAAGGTGTAAAATCAGGCCACCCTGGTCTGAAGCTATGAGGCATCACAGACTGAAAAAAAAGTAAAGAAAAGCTAGCCAAGAATTCACCTATAAACAATTGGAGCCACATATGTCTTTGTTAGCTGTACTCTTGCTTGGGAGCATGAACAGCAGCTGCAGAGCAGCGCAAGCTACAAAACAGATAAGGGTCTTGCTACGTGGCATAATTGACTGAGCTGTGCGATTTTGATAACCCCAGCCTGTGAGTGAAGCACTACTGCAGAAGGGAGAGAACAGTCAGCTAGTGTAGCAGTTGTCCTCCCAAGAAATCAGAGATATCTGTAAATAGTTACAGCTACAATTTAGGAATGGAGTAATTGGTTATTGCCTATTATCTCCTTTATTTGTCAGCTCTCTTTCTTTTCCCCTAGAATAAAGCTCTATTTATTAAGAATTTGACACTCTGTTTTTCAAGTGAGGAAGACAAGTCTCTTTTTGGTGTGTCCTCCCAGATTTCTGGAGAGAGGTTTAGGATGGATGTTTATTACCAACTCCTTAAAGTTTGAATGTGGATGCCCTCTCACTGTTGCAAGCCAAGCTTTGTGTCATGGTTTGAGTCCAAAGGGCAACTGAGCAGCACACAGCCGTTCACTCACCCCTTCCAACCCTAGCAATGGGAAGGAGAAAATGAATCAAAAGGCTCTGGAATCTAAATAAGGATAGGGAGGGGTGACATAAGCATTATGGTCATGGGCGGAAGACAGACTTATTAGGGGAAGGAAAAAAAAGAACATCACCTTAATTCAAAACCCTAACAACATGACTTAACAGACAGAATGGGACAGTGAGAAGCATTACCACATCTTAAAAACACCTGCCCCCTTCTCTGCTTCTCCCCAGGCTCAGTTTTTTCCTGATATCTCTACCTCCTCCCCTCAGTGGTACACGGGACAGGCAACAGGGAGTTTTTGGTCAGTGTGCTGCTCCTTCCTCCCCTGTTCCATGTGGTGTCCCTCTCACAGGGGATGGCCCTTCACAAACTCTCTCCACGGTGAGTCCTCCCCACGAGATGCATTCTTCTCAGGATGCTCTGGTTGTAGGTCACCCCCACGTGCTACAAGCCTCCCAGTGCTAAACTACAACAGCAGGGGCTGCTTCTCCCCTCAGAGTCCCGGCCCAGTGCAGCCACCTGCTCTGGTGTGGGGTCCTCCACAGGCCACAGATGGATCTCTGCTCCACTGTGGGCCTCCATGGGTGGCAGGAGGGGTGGCCCTACCGTCCCACCACAGGATACAGGGCAGGTCTCTGCTCCAGCACACCTCCCCCCCTTCCTCCTCCTTCCTTCCACTGACCTGGGTATTTGCATAGGTGTCCCTCTCCTAACTCCTCCTCAGAAGTCCTCCACCTTCTCTCAGATTCCCCTTCTTAAATACATTATCACAGAGGTGCAGCCACTGTCATTAATTGGCTCGGCCTTGGCCAGAGGTGAGTTGGGCTTGGAGCCAGGGGAGCTTTGAGAAGCTTCTCACAGGGGGACACAGCTGTAGCCGCCTCCCCCAGTACCAAAAACCTGCCACGCAAACCCAGCACACCCTCGTAAAAGCCAGAGAGATAAACAAGCTTTTGATAAGCTAGTCAAGAGAAATGCCATGTTTGGATAAATATTCCTATTCCTGTCAGCAATCTCTTTATAGAAGTAGCTTCACTAAAACAAGGCACAAAACTTACAAGCAATAAATATAAAAACAAAATAAGTATTAAAAAAAAAAAATCAAACTGGATGAGAAATGATAAAAATACATTATACTGACTCAAGTACAACCAATATTTAATTAAATGCTCTGACTGTGCCTGGAGTGCTTGTTCATGCTGTACTTTAAGAATAGATTCCAATCTTTCTTTTCCAAAGAAATCAAGGACAAAACTCTACAGTGGGAACACACTTTTACTTCTGCAGTCAATTTTGCAGGAATTGTACATTTTCTGCTGTTTATTCATACTGTTTCTATTTCATACATAAAAAATACATAAGCCACTGTCAAGAAAATGATTGGTGTCACAATGAACAGCACAGAACAAAAGGAGAAAAAAACCCAAACAATCTGCAAACAATAGACGACTAAGGGAATTATGTCATAAATTACCTAATCTGATGCCTTTCTTCAATATGACTGCCCATTTGAAAAATTAAACAGTATTGTAAGTAATGAATAGGGATCCAGTTTGGAACACAGCAATGATGTGAATATTATTTTTAATTGATGAGATGTATTTCAAATGTCTTTGATTATTTACACAACATTTATTTCACTGCTTTTTTTCAATCTTCCAGAAGAAATTCTGAATTATTATAATGATACGTTATAAAAACATAAACAAAAGAAATGCCCTACTACATCAGAACAGTGGTTCATCCAGCCCAGTATTCATTTCTCACAGTGGCAAAAGACAGTTGTGGTTAGGATAAACATATGACCCTCCCTCTCTCTGCAAATCATTCCCCTTATATTTTTCCAGTACACAGAATCATTGTACCAAGGATTTTCAAGAGCACTTAATCTGCTTAGTCCTTCCACTAGCCACTTAAGGACCTGCTGCCCATTAACTTTTCTAAGCCATTTCTGACCCAGCTGTCTGCCTCCACATCCTTCCACAGCAACAAGTTCCAGAAGTTCACTACCCATTGTGCAGGGACTGTTTTTATCCATCTTAAACTGATTCTCACTAGTTTTGTGTGCCCCTGGTTCTAATATTGTAAGATTCTCCATTTAGCTTACCTACTACCAGAGAACTGTTCAGTGTGTCCTGAACTAACTATAAAGGAAAGCCACTGCTTCAGCTCAATGCATTTTAAAATATTATTTCTTAGACATGCTAAAAGTTGGAATTTTTTAAAATAAGGATTAATGAAATAAGGTAAGGGTTAAAGATGACTACTCATTTTATCTCCCAATGTTTCTCACAAAAATAAGTCAGAAAAAAACTTCAAAGTCAAACATGTAAACCCAAGTCCATTATACAGCTAGCATGTTTTTCCATGAGAAGCTGATCCAATGCTTCACACCAACCAGGATTTGGAAAATTTCTCATTTGAATCTTACCTTGTCATTTTGGACTCAGATTGAATTTTTGTATTTTTTTATTCAGAGTTTGAATTTTATATTCAAACTTCAGCCACTCCCTGACAAGCTATTACTGCCTTTTAAGATTGTCTTAAACTATCCTGAATAAAAGATTTTGATTATGATTAGATAACATCTTCTCCTTTCTGCTTAGCAGAGGGTATCAGCATATCCTGTGAAAGGTATGAATCTTTATACACATTGAATTATTTTAATAAATACAAAAAAATTACCAGCAATTCTCTAAAGAAGTCTATGAAGGCTACTACAGCCAAAGAGCACACAAACTGCTGAGGCTGCTTTACAACACCTCATGCTATACCTAGGTTACACTGGTATTAAGACAGTCAGTCCCATTCTGAGTACCAGTCTGAAATGATATAAAGCTGATAGAAGTCTGCTTTAAATTTTCTTGAGTTGGACAAGTAGGAGGTACTCACATAGAAGCTATAGACCACCAGCCTGCAAGTGCTCCTTGAGCTACATCCCTTTTTCCAAACCTAAGTGACCTCCTTGTTTCCCTTTCACTAGTTCTCTGCAAGGTAAAGATCTGTAAAAACAGGGATATGGATGTAGCCAGCATTTGACCACAAATATTCCAGCATATTTTCAGCTCAACTGTTTTTACATTAAACAGCAAACTAAGATTGCATAATACCTGGACACATAAACTGGACCTTCTTAATGCCAGGTTCAGCAGCACACTGTTGGAAGCTGAGTATTTTTCATATTAAAACACTATTGCACAATGCCTGCTTAAAGAATCACAAACATAGTCCCCTCCAATGGGTAGTCCAGAGAGTATTATAAGGCCTACTTTCCTCAAAATCTGCTCAATCACTATATAATCATTTACTTGCTGTTTGCAAATGTTAATCCAGGGTCAAGGTAATGGCCCTGTGACACAACACTTAAATTTATATAAAACCATGCCCTTTTAGCGTTCATTGATAAATTCAGAGGGCTACTCTGATTTAAAAGCAGACTACTGGCTTTATCAGAGCATGGGCAGAAGTGACCTAACACCACAAACAAAATGCTGCTACTAGCTTTAGGGGGTTTTTTAACACTACTGCAGTGTTCTAATGCCCAAAACAAAACAAGCATTACAACTGCAGACTGTAAAACTGTTGAAGCAGATGCAGGAGTGGCCCTGGATTTGGTCAATAGACATCGCAGAGATGGCTATGTTTTTGGTTTATTCCGTGTTGCTGATGCACATGAACTACATATAGTAAGTATCAATTTAAAGGCTGATTTACATAAGAATGTGATTTTAAAATAATGAGGCAGATCATTAAAAGCTTATGATTATTGCTTTTAACATAGCAATGTTGATGTCATTCAATGAATCAGCTCTGATTTACACTATCTCAGTATTCATTTCTGCATGATTTATTGCACATAAGCTTGATTTCAAATGATGCTGAATGCCCTCTATTCTCTTGGCCGACAGGATGTTGGCATAAGAGGTGCTCTGAACAGCTTTATACAACACCAGAAATTCATCTGTCCCGTCTGTTGTCAGGTCTCAGATGTTATGTTGAAAACTTGCATTTGGAGGGTTTCTTTAATCTGCGACTATCTAACATTAATTAGATCCATACATCCTGCAAGATGGGTATTTTGTTATCATCTTAATTTTGGAAGATAGCTGGATAAGTGGAGAGAATTAAAAAAGGCAGAGGAAGTCAAAGGAGATGAAAATGTCATTCTGCAAAACAGGGGAAGGGCTGGATAGAGAATCCATATCAGTCATTTCCTATTTCCTTCCTACTTCTATTTTTGTTTCCTAGAGAGAAATAAGCCTTTCTCTATGACTGCCTAAATGCCAAAGCAAATCAATAGCAGAAAAACCAATAGAATAGAACTTTTTTTAAAACTAGTAGATAAAAGAGACCAAGGACATGTAGATTTACTAATGCATTGACTACCTTTTAGATGCTTGTCTGTGAAACTAGAATCTAGGCACACATGCACTGTTTAAGAAGTGTATTACACATCTCAGTATGGCATCTGAAAAACAGGCTAGTTTTTGATGGAGCTGCTTAGACTGCCTGTTAGGACAGGAAAATTGCTCCTAAAGTGACCCAAAGCTCATATTCCTACAGAACTTCAGGTATACTTTCAAAAAACCTCATGGATTCAACGACAAGGATGTGGCAAGTGATACTACTGGGTTTTATGCAATAGCCAGGTAGTTAAAGAGCCCACCTAGGAAGGAATCAATCTTCCTCAGCATTAAGAGATTTAAACAATCAAGTCTCCCGTCCTTGAAGAATGCTGCTCCCATGCAGCTATGTGTGTGCCACCCCTGTCAAATGGAGCCACTGAACAGTTGCAAAATTCACTGAATGATTGAGAAAAAGACACAGTCATTTCTAAAAAGAAAAATCTTAGTATTTTGGCATTTTAACCAATTATTGACTATATGAACTATAGAACCATAACTTGGAATAGGCAACAGAGCTGAGGATTCATACTTCCCAATAAATGCTATAACCACTAGGCTACCTATACTGGTTTTAGCTGGAATAGAGTTAATGTTTCTTCTTAGTAGCTAGAATAGTGCTGTGTTTTGGATCCAGTATGGGATTTGGTATGAGAAGAATGTTGATAGTACACTGATGTTTTCAGTTGCTGCTGAGACATCAAGGTCTCCCCAACTCTCCACGTCCTACCCATGTGCAGGTGTACAAGAAGCTAGGAGGGAGCACAGCCAGAGCACCGGGCCCAAATTAGCCAAGGGAATATTCCATGTCACGCAATGTCATGCTCAGTGTATAAAGGAGGGTCGGCCAGGAAGGAGGGGGTTCTCTCGCTCGCTTCCAGGATTGTGGTTTCAGGATCTTGGTTCTTTGGGATCACTAGCGAGGAACAGGCTGGGTATCAGTCAGTAAGTGGTGAGCAATCACATTGTGCATTACTCATTTGTACTTTTATTATTGCAACTGTTTTGTTTTATTTCAATTATTAAACTGGTTTTATCTCAACCTATGAGTCTCCTTTACCCCTTCATTCCAAGGATGGGAGAGGGTGAGTGAGCAGCTGCATGGTGTTTGGACAGGTTTAAACCACAACAGTACTGTGCTTATGTTTTGCTTTGTGCCTCTAATGAATTTTGCTCTCTTTGTAGTCCAGGGCCATAACTTCAACTATCACAAAGAGTCTACATGAACAGAAAAGACCCTTCTACCTATCTTAGTGCTAAAGACTTCTCCTTGTAAGGTCTCTGTACCTTCTCAGACCCAAAGCCACCAGTTGTGGTCTCCTGCATACTGATCATGTACACTATTGTGCAAGAAGTTATGTTGGCTCCACCGCCAAGATGACATTAAAAAAATAATATATAAAAAAAGAGCAGATCATTATTTTTATTACCTCCATGCAATATTGTGCATCAAGTCTATCACATCAACCCCCTTAGAAACTTAAGCAGAGCAGTTCCTAGCACTCAGATCTCTGCTGGGTTTACCTGGGACTTCTAGAACCATAAGATACTCAAGTATTCACACTAAAATAGTTCTGAGCTTGTGCAGTGCAGAACTCTGGCACCCAAGATGCTTTTAAAATAACCAAAAAGGCACCATATAAGAGTATTATTTTTGATCCCAAGAGCTATCCATCAGATGAACAGATGCTATTCTACTGTATATTTGGATGTAGACAATTTCAGCCAAGCTCTGCTCTAGGCTTTATTGAATCCAAATGCATCCTGCTGAAGAAAATAAACATTTGCCCAGGATGAATTGGTTTCTTTAGCGTTTCACAAGTTTGGATGACAAAGTGAATATATTTAGTCATTTACGTTTTAGAGGGCTCCTAGTGAATAGCACATTTTACAAAAGACTATCACACCTTTCCATTCAGTGCAATTCCATAAATACAAATCAGAAAAAAATAGGGTTTTTCACTGTTCATCTTCTCATCTTTGTCTGCATTTTACTACTATGTTGACTAGAAGCTTGAAATTATTGGCATTTATAAAATAAAATAGAAATACTAACTTCCGCTAAGCAAAGAGTATTCATGTGACTAGTGGGCAAGGATGAGCGTCCAGGACAACTACATTATTTTCCTGCTTCTGTCATTGAATGACATGTATCTTTGTGTAAATCACCTAGCCTCTATTTTAAAAATAGAGACAATACTAAGACATACACATACTGCAAAACTAGTGTTTAACATGCCACTCAGAGACTCCTAATAAAAAAATACTACACTGGACTGCAGTAATACTTTCTCAAGGTCTCATCTATACAGAAACACTCTGAAAAAGGAATCTGAATGGATAATATCTGATAAAGCCCGAGGACACTTATTCACAGTAAAGGGCTTTCATCATTTTATCTAATAAAATACGTCTGTGTTCATTCTGAATGTCCATACAAGGGTTGCATGAAATTTAAATAATCCATTCCAAATGCGAATTAAGATTAATTTTCCTGAGGAAAAATATAAAACTTTTCTGTGAGCCACAGATAATTCTTAACACCACATCCCATTACACTGATAGCCAAATTCAAATTCTGATTCTCCATCCTGTCTGCTCAGGAGACAGAACATATTAGAAGAATTTCAGAGCTAAGGCTCCTAACTTTGTAGGGATTATTACAGTTTTGTTGCATCACTCCCTGAACAAACGGAGCAGGAAGCAAAGTTCTGAAAGTATATCTGGTCACTGAGGTCATCTGAAATGGATATAGCTATATACTTGGCTGCCTAGACAACTGATTTCTTAATAGACCAATATGTTCTATGCGAAAATCAGAAAGACAGAATGGCAACTTTTTAATTCTGGTAATTTCCCTACATGATGGATACCAGGTTTACAACAGACTCTTCTCACAGGTTTCCAACAAAAGGGTAAGAGGCAACAGTTGTAAGTTGCAGGAAGAGAATTTCTCACAAGATATAAGGCCAAAAAAATCATGGACAGTGGTTAAGTACTGGAACAGCCCAGAGAGGCTGTGGAACATCTCTCTTGGTGATATACAGAACTCAGCTGAATCTAACTTTGAAGTCAGCTTTGCCTTGAGCAAGCGGCTGGACAAGATGACCTCCAAAAGTCCCTTGCAGCCTAAATACTAGTCAGTTCAGAAAAACCTTAATAGGGACTGAGGAAGCTATATGAAAAGTGTATCTACTTCAAAATAAGTTTCTTTCAGACCAGACAGTATGCAAACTCTTTTTTACCTGCACTTCTCTTCCAGGGAAATTCATCAGTCCTCTACTTAACTTTGGATGTGCTACAAACTGAATGCTCTGTATTGTCCAGAAGACACTGGGAGTCTTGTGAATACGGTGACACCTATGCCATGGCAAGTAATGACACCCACACAGAGTCATATGTCAATAATGCATTAACTTCATCTTCACCTGAACTGCCCAGAAAATTCTGTGTCACAAAATCTCAAAGACTAAGCTTTAATATGGCTCACTAGAAAATAAAATGTATTGAATTCTAGAGTTGTTAAGATGAAGGTTTGGAAAAGAGTTGACTGCTCAGATAAGTGCAGCTTTATTTAACAAGCTGTCGAAGGAGCTATACTCCACATTCCACTGCTGGTAGCAGTACTGATATTTTAAGAATAATGTGCTGACGACAACTAAAGGGCACTAGAAATTATTTTTTAAAGCATGTTCCTAGTATATTAGCCAGAAATACCACTGTCATATTTTGTCAGTTTTCTGTTATAGCGTTTGTGGCAAGACAATATGAAATATTGGTAGTGTCAGTACACATATGATATGTAGCAATACTTGTCCTTTATTGTTGCAGTCCAGTGATGCAGTCTGGGATGAGAACTACCAGTCCAAAACTTTATTTAAATACTACCACACAGGACAAAGCAGGAAGGCCATGAAGAGAGAAGAGAAGGCATTTACTCTTTTTATTAAGATGGGGGAAAAGAATGGAAGAAAAGGTCCATCCACTTTCTGATAAAGACTTACCTAACCTTGAGTATCCCTGGCATCCTAACTTCCCCTGCTAGCTAGTATTATCTTACTGTAAATAAGTATTGGAAGGACTGGGAAGACTGGTTTAGTTTTCCATTGTCTACTCAGATGTGCAAACTGAGAATTAAAATAAAGGCTCTTGTAGAGGGAGATCCCATTTTACCTGCACACAAATTTTGAGTGGTACCAGATCAAACATTCCATTAATGACCACATCTGTTATTCTTAGAGGTACTGTACATTAAAAGGAGGCATAATTTCTATATCACCTACATTCAATGAAATGCAGTGAAAATAACATCATAATCACATACTCTTTTTTCTTCTCAGGACTTTGGGCAATGTAAGATTATCACATATACAAGCCAGATGCTGAAGAAAAAACAACTATATGGATTTAATTGTACATTAAGTCCAGGTAAAATAACTACTGTTGTAAGCCAATGCATACCTCAGACCATCCCTAGTACCAAATTACAAGTCTGTGCACTAGTATTTGGAAACCGTAACAGATTCATTCATCTGCTTGCAATTCGTATTCTAGATAATTCAAATGGAATGTTAAGAATGAGTAATAGAATTAAGGTTACCCTACTCTTCTAAAGCAGACTTTATTAATGTCAGATGATATCACCATTCCAGTCAACCAAAACATGATAATGAATATCAGAAAAAAAGTAAACATGGAAAGACTGCTAATTTGGGGTGGTAAGATTCTAAGGTGGAGCTAAAAGATTTATAAGAATCTTCATTTTCATACATTTGGGTTTTTTTCATGTTACAGGACAAACCTGTATTTGTGAAGTGAGGGATAGGTATTTCACTTCCAAGCAAGCGCTTGCATTTGAGTTTCTCATTATAAATTCAAATTAAAGGCACATGCACACTACCAAGAGTATTAATACTCATTGCAATATTAGTAAATTCTCTGTTTTCACAGTTCCTCCTGATTTATTGGAGTGCAAAGATTGTCCTGTGAAAGTTGAAGTCTTAGAAGTCATTGAGCAACATACAACTATTGCTGCAAAGGCCCTGAAGAAATTCAACAGCGAGAGTAACTACACAAACTACTTCAGCGTGAACAAAGTTGAAAAGACTTTAAAGATGGTAAGTCACATTTTGTCCTAGAATTACTTATAAACAACAAAATTTTTGAGCAGCTTCCAAACCATGGGACCAGAATTCAAACCCTTCTAGGATCAGAACTATTGCTTGTCACCTCCCAGTGTAAATCATCTGCTATAAAACTGAAGGTCCTACTTCTGCAAAGACTTGCTATCAACTTTAATTTAGGCACGTGAAAGCAAAAGTATTTCTCATTTGCTAAAATCTATGGCAGTGTGATGACATCCAAAATGTCAGAGCCTTCTTTGTGTGCATATTTTTTTTTAATTCCTGTTTATCTATCATATCATAATATACAAGTGTTTATTTACTTTTATTTACCAAGTGTTTATTTATTAAGAACCAGAGTTCTTCAAGATGTACAGTCATGTACACGGTATTATCACAGTCATACATTCTGCCAACTGAAGTCAGATAATTTTTTACTCTTAGAATTTAGGACATGGGTACAACACAAAATAGAACACACTCAGCATCATTTTCACTTTCTGCTGCAGAGCAAAGTAGTACTCTGAAAGCCCTGAAAGACAGGAGGTAAATTTGTATCTGTGCTGTGCCTCTTGAAGAACTACTGATTCTGGTAAATGACTTCTCCATCTTTGAGTGATGTGACCATGAAGATTTATCCTTTGGGTGATTTGAAGCATAACTATCAGACCACCACAATTTCTTGTCAGTAGATACTGGAGGCCTTCACTTAAACAGCACAGGATCACCCTGCCAACATGTGTGTGAGTTCAGGACACCTCTGTAATGAGGACCCATGGTCCCTACCATAACACATGTTGATCTTGGAAACCGCCTAAATTATAGCATGCCAACCCCACCTCCCTGCAGCTTTTAATATTGCTCAGAAACTTGTTCTACACTGTAGTCCCATGCAGCATGTATTCCTAGTCCCAAATAGCAAGTGGATGTTTTCAGATTGCCTGGATTCACAGATTTCTCCCTAAATGCTTTATCTTTACACTTTACCATTTTCAGCTATAGTGACAATTTAGATTGTACCACTGGATTTCAACAGACTGCATAACACTTAGAAACCATGAATTATGATTAAAAAAACCCACGCCATAAAGTATGTGCATCTACTTTTAACCAATTTAGCTAAACCAGTGAAACTTCTGTGCACACACATGCTATGGACACCTTCAACACAGACTTGAAGTAAACTACTATTACAGTTGGAAATTAAAATGAAACACCTCTTTATGGATTTTAATAGGATCACAAAGGCCTTCTGGCCATGTTCTTATGGAGTAATGCCCCCTTTATGAATAATGCCACTGACAACAGAGAAAGCAACAATCTCACCATAGCTGCCAGAATTTCATACCAAATGAACATCAGCACTGTAGCACTACGCACTCCTGGCACTGGAAAGGCATGGTTGCCATCCAGTAGATCTCTGTATTTTCACAGGACCAGCAGTTCAATTTAAGGAGAAGACTCTAAGGATGCTACCTCCTAAAAACACAGGCTGTAAAAGTAACAGGTTTCATAGCGTACACATATTAGACAAAGAAATAAAGCAACCATTCTTGGAACTCATAAAGATGTGAGGTAAGTAAGGTATAAATTATCTAATCTAATTTTCTTACTGAATACACATAGATTTGAACAGTACAGTTAATGAAAGCATAAGGTAGACAGGATTTTGACAACAATAGGAAGTATGGTTGCTTTCAAAATTACAGGTCTTTAAATACACCTAGTTACCACTTCTTATTTTACCTCTTGGTTTCAGACTGCCTCCCGTGAAGGTCACATTTTAGAATTCTCTATAAAAGAGACCAACTGTTCCAAATCTGCACAACAAGCATATCAGGCATTGGAATGTGATTTTCTGGACGACTGGCATGCTGTAAGTAAAGTCTTAGAATGAAAATTGATACAATGGGTGGCACCAGGAGAATCTTCCCACAATACTTCCAAGTGTTTCTTATAAGCATGCACCCAAACTCAAAATTAAAAATCCAGCATGTCCAAGCCCAGATCTTAATTTTACAGCTGAGGAGCCAGCCTGAACTCTCAAATCTAAATGTAACTGGAGTCTGGTATATTGCAGACCCAGAGCTGAGCTTTTCAGTTTGGATCTGGCTTTCACATTCAAATTGTGGCCATTCCCTATTAAATCATTCAGGTTATTTTTCTAAAAACGTTTACAGTAACATGAGTCATAGACCTTGAAAAAAAAACACCATGTATTACGTCATCCCAGTGAGCCCAGGGTTACTTTTTTTTCCTCTGCTGCAAGGGAATGGAGAGTGGAATAATTCAGGCCTGTCTGCAGATTACTATCAAAGTACTCTCCTCACCCCACCTTCCCATTGCAATAACAATCTACACCAAAAAAACAACTAGGCAAGATTGTAATTTCAGAATAAATTATTCCCCAGAAATGAAATTGAAGGAATGACATAAAAATATGGAAAAAATAGAACATGTAGAACTTTTTTTTTAATCTACATCCATTTTCTTCTCTGGCTCTTTATACTCCCGGAGACTGGAAAAGGTTGTGAATGAACTGGTAGGGGAGCCAGAAGTTCACTAGCATGAAGCACAAGCCAGATAGCTAGACATTCTGAATTCTGTTCTCAGTGCTGCCACCACTGGTGTGTGTGTGTGTGTGCGCGTGTGTGTGTGTGTGTGTGAAATACTATTAACATTTGTAATCACTGATCATACAGGCTACTAATGGCCCAAACATACATTAAGATAAAGAATCCACTACAGAGAGCATACACAGAACCTCTTACCTGAGTTCTGTGCTCTTTCACTTGAGTGATTCCACATACAACTGGACAGCAAGTGAAAGTCACAGCAAACAGGATGCCAAGGGAAGTAACGCTGAAAGATTACAACGAATTACTTTTCAAAAACTAAATATGGAAGAAAACTCTACCTTGAGCTTTTTCTGAAACAGCATAGCTACACAGTGCCTGTTTTTGAGGACTTCGAGCATAATTTTAGAACAGCCAAATCTGAACAGATCTTTGACAAACAAACACAGAAATAAAGGAATAAAAATCAGTCACCCATAGGGTACTCATTTTGGAGACATCACTAGCTGACCAATTTCTTGCAGGTATCAAAAGAGAAGTAAGATGGAGAGTAGTAGCCCTTTAGATGCATGTGGCAAAGTGGTCTTCACAGTCAAAGCCACTCAAAAATGGCATATATATTAATCAGTATTAATCACTGGCAAGTACCACTGGTCAGAAAGCTCGGGATCTAAGCTGTGTAAACATACTTAGGCATCAAAGGAACTAGCCTAACTTTAAAAATGTTGAACTTTCAGTAGCTTCTATTAACTCCATCACAAGAACCCAGATGTGCATTGTTGTTTTGGGTTTTTTTCTTTTCTTTTGCTTAGCACATGGGATTCTGCAAGGCAAGAATTATCAGTGATGCAGATGAACCTGATGGCACAGATATAAGCTGTGAGATCTACCATCCCTGGGTATGTACCCACTTACTGAAATGTCTCTGGCTGTATGCTCATGCAGGCTACAGCAACCTCACTTAGTCCAGACTGACAGATGAATGCAACATTTGTTTATGTCCCTTTGTCACTGCCTGGGTGTGATGCAGCATGTTAGGACAGACTGGCTTTTGACCCCAGGTCAACTGGAGGATGAGTTAGAATGGAGCTGTCCCTACTGCTCTCTCCAAGGGTGTCTTCTCTCAGTTCAGTCATACTCCTTAGCTAAAGTGAGTAGAGACGGGCAAACAAGTTCAAAGAAATTTTAGAAAACAAGAGGAGGAGAGATGATCTTTCTCGTATTTGCTATTTCATTTTATATTGCAATAGCTACTCCAGTGTGGGTTTTGTTTTGATCCATCACAAATTTTGTTTAGTTGGTTATATAATTTCATTCTGTTATAGTGTAGTATTCCCAGATAATTTACAGTAATTTGGCATTTTATCATCTACTCCTTGTCTTCTATCTTGAAAAAAACCACAATTTTTGCCTTACATACCACTGGAACTGTAAATGTAAACCTATTAACTCCTACCTCTCTTTCTTTCTTCTGTCCTATCAACATCTCACATAATATTTTCTCCCCTGGTGTTTTTATAAACAGCATCATGGCTATGGGCAAAGATGCAGATATTCAACTCTGGGACAGTCACACAGGCATCCCCATCATTTTGATCATAGACATCGTCACAGACATCATCACAAGCATGGATGTCCACCTTCTTCTCAATCCAGACCTGAAGATCCTGAGCATAACCATAATTTCAAGCAAGAACCTCCCCTTCCACCCCTCCACAGTGAACCACATCAACACCTTCACCTTCCACACCACTGTCCTCCACCTCCTCCCCATGGTGGACCACATCACCACCCTCCTTCTCCTCCCTATGATGCACCACATCCTCCTCCCCAAGAGGAACCACAATATCCCCCTTCTGCTCCTCCTCCTCATGATGAACCACATCATCTTCCTCCTTCCCAAGAGGAATTACACAATCTCTCTTCTCCTCCTCCCCATGATGAACCACATAATCCTCCTCTTGGTCCCCATCATGGACCACATTGTCCTCCCCCTCCTCATGGACCACACCACCACCATCGTCCTCCTCCTCATAGACTACATTGGCATTCTCCCCCTCCTCATGGACGACATCACCACCATCATCCTCCCCATCATGGATCACATTCTCCTCCTCATGGACCACATCACCTTCCTCATCACCATCATCCCTATTACAGACATCACTGCAACAAAACAAGCATATCGGGAAAGTACTTTCCATTCCAAATAACAGGAGCTGTCTATCGCATTCCAGTTCTAAATCAGCAGGATTCTCTCACACCTCCTACTGCGAACTTTCCTGAGTTATCCCAAAGTAATCCTCACTCCTCCAGCACTGGTGAAGGTATTCCCTCAACTGGCTCCAGTCTAAAGGAGATGCCAGAAGCTCCAGGATTTCCAGATCACCCTACACAATCAGAATCATGCCCAGGAAATCCCAAGCTTGTTCTTCCAAAAATTTTGCCTTTATTTCCACATAGACCATAACAGATAAATTCTCCTGCATGACCTCAGAGAATGATGTTCCTGGCTTGAGAGTTGCAGGGCTAGTAACAGTTGTATAATGAATAAAAACAGCATGTGGAGAAGGGGAAAATGCATACAATTTCTAGGGAGGAAAAGCACTGAAAATAATTCTTAAGACAAGTATTCCAACCTGTCTCTTGATTCCAGCTATCTCAGACTCCACTGTAACTGAAAGGCTCAAAATTCTAAGTCCCTCAGATAATGTGAATGGGTACAAATCTTGCTAGCAAACAATACTCCTTTAGTTCTAATAAAAAGGAAAATTCCCTAATAACTACCATCTAAAATCTTTCATTTTCTCATCATTCATAATTGTTATGTACTTCTCTAAGGAAATCTGACCTAGAGGAAATTTGACCACCTTCCATAAAAAATGATCCATGCCACTACATTTATGCTTTATAAAGATTCAAAGAAAATAAAAATAGGTAAGCTTTTTTTTTTAACACTGTTACCAAAATTTTGTCTTTTTTGTTAACAATGTATGTGTAGCTGCACAGTAAACATCCATGAGGCATACTCTAGCATAAATTGACTAATGGTGGTTGGGTTACCACCATTATCTAGAAAAGGTCTGAGAATAGTTAATGACTTGTAGTGTAACACTGCAGAGTGGCCTGCACAGGTACTTCCACTGCTACAAGTTGCTGGAGGCGATATACCAGAAATACTGCATTCAAGGACAGCCCTTTTCAAATAGTTCATAGTTGCTCTCAGGGGAGGAGAAAAGCAGATGCATGTAATAACTCTTTCATGTAAATGTTTTCTTTATAGCTGAACCTTCCTCCCTGTATTGTAAGAGGATAGAAGAACAAAAATCTAGCAAAAGACAAAAAACAACATTTCTCATAAGATCTGCAGCTCAGAATGTAAGTTTTGTTTTGTAACCAGGATCACTATTGCTATAAACAATTTTATGCCTGCTTAGTTCTAGGATAGAACTACTGTAAAGATTTATGACCAGCTGAATGGTGATCTGAAACCATGCTGTAGAAAGAACGTATTTTTCTGTCCTTTAGGTGAACTTAGCTCATTATAATATGAAACCCACACCTCTATAGCTTAAGTTACCCACTTCTTCATGAAGCTCCTCACCCTTTGAGCACGAATACGTTAATAGGTAGATACTGTGACTTTAAATGAAAGCAAGGACTAAAACTAGCCAATAGATGATACTGTGATAAAATACTAAGAAACAGTTATGTATAGAGGTGTGTGTTTCTGTGTTCAGAATCAAATAAATATGGTGTGTGTTTGTAACTCAGTGTACTGGCCACTTTGGATGCCAAGCACTCTTTTCTGTTAACTGGCTCTTTGCATACCATACTAGTTTTGGGACAACAACTGGAAACTGAGTTGGGAAGAGCAGGAAGAAAGAACGTGTGTCTTTTTATACTCCAGCCCCCATCAGGGTGAAGTCCATTCAGACAGATCTGGGACCTCAATGAGTTAGTTCAGAACAGTTATGTCATAAGCAAGAACATGGGATTAATCTCAAAAAAATAGTAATTTGGTCCTCAAAGTAGCTTTTTCATGGCATAAAGTAAATGCAGTGTGAGGGCTACACTGAAGAAAAAGAAACACAATGGGGACAACATTTTATGTAACTGTGTCAAGGTTGACTAATTTTTAAAAGTGCATTATCATGTATGAACAACCTTATTTCTAGCATAGTTTATCCACAAAGTCTTTAAAGTGTATTTTCTTTAACTAAAACTTGTAGCAAGTGTTGCTTGACCATGGCTGGATGCCAGATGCCCACCAAAGCTGCTCAATTACTCCCCTCTTAAGATGGGCAGCGGAGTGAAAATATAACAAAAGGTTCATGGGTCAAGATAAGGACAGGGAACACTCAGCGATTAGAAACATGGGCAAACCAGGCTCAACCTGTGGAAAATAGCTTAATTTATTACCAATCAAATCAGAGTAGGATAATGAGAAATAAAACCAAAGCTTAAAAATATCTTCCTTCCACCCCTCCCTTTTTCCCAGGCTTAACTTTACTCCCAATTTCTTTAGATCCTCCCCCAAAGCAGCACAGGGAGACGGGGAACAGGGGTCGCGGTCAGCTGATCACACCTTGTTTCTGCTGCTCCTTCCTCCACAGGAGAGGACTTCTCACACTCTTCCCCTGCTCCAGCCCGTGGCCCTTCCCACGGAAGACAGTTCTTCATGAACTGTTCCAGTGTGGGTCCCTTCCGTGGGGTGCAGTCCTTCAGGCACAGGCTGCTCCAGCGGGCGTCCCCCGTGGGGTCCCAAGTCCTGCCAGCAAACCTGCTCCAGCGGGGGCTCCTCTCCCCACGGGGCCACAGGCCCTGCCAGGTGCCTGCTCCAGTGTCGGCTTCCCACGGGGTCACCGCCTCCTCTGGGCACCCACCTGCTGTGCTGTGGGGTCCTCCCCGGGCTGCAGGGGGGTCTCTGCTCCCCCGAGGCCTCCCTGGGCGCAGGGCACAGCTGCCTCACCGTGGGCTGCCCACGGGCTGCAGGGGAACCTCTGCCCCGGGCCTGGAGCGTCTCCTCCCCCTCCTGCACTGACCTTGGGGTCTGCAGAGCTGTTTCTCTTGCATATTTTCATTCCTCTCTCCAGCTGCAGTTGTCCTCACACAGTTTTTTTTTCCTCTCTTCTTAGATATGTTATCACAGAGACAGTACCACAGTTGCTGATGCGCTCGGCCTTGGCCAGCAGCGGGTCCATCTTGGAGCCAGCTCGCGTTGGCTCTATCAGACACTAGGGAAGGTTCTAGCAGCTTCCCATAGAAGCCACCCCCATAGTCCCCTTGATACCAAAACTTTTCGATACAAACCCAATACAGCAAGACATAGCTAGAACACTGGAGCTGAGGCAATCCCAAAGCTCTTTGATGCTCAGCACTGGAGACAAGCACCAGATGTTCCCAGCCAGCTCTAATTCTGGCTGTGCCAGACACAGGCAACAATACTTAATCCCTTGTTTTTGGGTGTCACTTTCCTTATCTGCAATGATAATAAAACATTTTGAAGACTGACTAATCCATGGTCCAAAAGCAGTCTGCACATGGCAACAAAGATGGATACATCCTACAGTAGCATTAAGCACAAGGCTTATGAAGTTATTGGAGAGTTACATGACATTCAATGATACGCACCTGTTCAGAGACTTTTTCAAACATGATCTGACTTATCAGAACTATTGCAGTCTGAACACTAAACAGATCTATAAAATTTACAGGGTTGTCCAGAACCAAAGCTCCACTGCCACTGTGACCTTTTTGGGTGTTTTATATAAGCCTTCTAAAACTCATTCTCAGCAGCAGTTTAGCTGTTAAGAAGCCAGAAAGCTACAAACATTCTGTTTTCTTTTTTGCTTGGGGGGCCATCCTGTTTATTCTAAACCTGTCCCCATTTAGCTTGTTATCTTGATGGCAGGTGGATAACCTTAGTGTCATTCTGGTGACCACACAAAGTTTATCTAGATAAACTCAGAAGTTTATTTGCAGTATAAACAGGGTATGATGAGAACCAACCAACCCCAGCAGCCCACTTGTTTTGTTTACTTAGCTATTGCTCCTGAAAAACAGTAGAGGTGACTAAAACCCTGTCAGGCATTCCTTTTCCATTTGGTTTTTAAAGAGCCTTCTAATTCAGGGGGCCTTTTTTGTCCAATTATGAAACCTTTCATTCTATTAGCACTTTGCTGTAGTTTTTTCTCTAGCACAGCCACCCCTCTTTCGTTTGAGTTTTCGGACTGTGATGACCCTGATGTCTTTAAAGCTGTCGATACAGCACTGAAGAAATACAATGGAGACCAAGCAACTGGTAATCAGTTTGCTCTATACATGGTGATGGAAGCCAAGAGAACTGTAAGTAGACTTTGCGAAAAACCAAAAAATTTAGAATTGTTTATGCACTCTGAATCTGATTATCTCTATTGCGTTCATAAGAGAGCAAGCATGACAGCAAAGTGTCTTCCAGAAAGGTTTTAAAAAATCGAAGAAATGACTTGCACAGTAAGATACTTGTTACCATGACAAGCAGGGATGTATATTATGTTCTTATCAATGGGACTATGCATGCTGGTGAATTGCTTATTAATGCAAGGACTAAAGAATAGAAAATTTCTATCGCTAATACAATTTGTCTTACTAGTCCACTCTGTTTTCTCTTTTCTCTGTTGGGAATTCTACCTCTTTCCATCATCAGTAAGGTTTACAGTTGAATGGCAAAAATGCACTTACTAAAAAACCTAATTATTATCTTGACTTGGGAAGAGCTGGTATCACACACAAAAAAAAGAATGACCTGATAAAATTTGGCAATACTCTGAACAAATTGTTTGTGAATATATTTGATTGACATTAGTCCTGAGTCACAGATCTATCTAAAAGCACTAGGTGGTATTTTAGTCGAATAGGGTGACAGCTAAAATTACAGAAGAAAAAAAGAATGAAACATGATCCTTTGCCTGGAGTCCTTCTGTACAGTTAATCTAACAAAAGAGTATTTACCTCTGAGAGGCATACAAAGATGATATTACCATAATAATGACAAGCATTACTTTACCCTAAAACAACATTAGCATTTTTTTCTACTGGATTGGATTTTCACATGTAAAACACAAGAAACCCAGTGTCAGAGAGAATATTTTGCACTCCAAAATCACAAGACACTTACCTAGATAGAAAGGGGACATGAATTGTTAAATGCCTTACAGTAAACTACCCACATCTTCTGGCACCTACCCCCTGGTTTTCCTGTTTTCAAACTGTGGAGATTTTAGCACTTAATGACAAAGACTAAAATCTGGCAAACCCTCTATAAAATTAATATTAAACAAATGAACAGTCCCATTGTCTTCACTGAACTACACACATCCTTAACAACAGCCAAATGCAAACATCTTTATATCAGAGCTGTAATACCACCTTCCTTTTACTGTTGTTCCCAAAGGACAGATATAAGTTTCAGTATTTTATCTTAAACAATGTTCTACTTTTAAGAACACATATTTGTTGCAATTATTATTCATCTTTCCTTCTCTAGCTATCCATCTTTCCTTTTCTTTAAAAGATCTGAAGTGATCAATTATCACTTTGAATCATTGATCTGACTATGATGTTAAATAAAAAACAGAGAAAAGGAATCTACAATAGAGGTTTCCTCATATTCAATATTCTTCTGAAAAGAGTATAGATTTTACTCCTTGCTAGTCTCACAATGTTGAATGCATTAATTAAATAGCTGGTTATTATATATTCATGTACATTCATTATTGATAAGGTAATAAAACATAAAAGCTGACTGGTGAAAGACTGAACATGACCCAGTTAAAGGCATAGCTGTTCATAATAATAATGAAATAAACCAACAACAAATAATATACAGAAACAATATCTTTTCTCACATATTTTGTTTACTCATTGAGCTGATTTATTGCAGATTAGAATCCTGTAACAGAGAACAGAATTTAGCTCTTTTTAAAACCACATCCCAGACAGTATAATCTGATGCAGCTCCATAAATGTCAATTTACACCTGCTGAGGATTAAGTCCATTGTAGTTTTAGAAACCTTTCATCCTATTTTACAACCTTCAACCATCATACCAGGTACCTCTACACCTCATTGTAGTTGTAGCAATACACAACAAGAATTGAGAGAAAACAGAACATAACTCTGTGTCCACACCAGTGTAAATCCAGTATATTCCACCTGCATCAGCTCGGCTTCACTTTCTTGGTACCACTAAAGCAAGAATTATCATTTAATTCTTCCAGCAGTATTATTTGAGGATAACCAGTGTTAAAGTACAGCAACTGCCTGTGTTTGCATTTGAAAAGCCACATTGGCAGAACATTTTTAGTGGCTGTAAAAGATTAGTAACTTCTGGCTTTATATCTCCTCTAAAGGATAAGCCCTAGACCTTGCAGTGTGCTAATGTTACCTGTCTGCACAGGCTCACTATTCAGTTTGGCAAGGAGAAAATGCCCCCTACTGATTTACCAATGTCAGAAACACTTCCACTGGCCAGGCCAAACTTTGCTTAATACTTTGTATTTCATCTTACAGGATTCCTGAGGCTACCCTCGTGAGCAGCTCAGCCTTTAATGCCTACAGGAAAACTGCAGGCACTGCCAAAGCCTGGCTCCAGAGCATATACCCTCCTCGCCCCTTTCCCCTGAGTAGGCCGGGCAGCTTAAGTACCCTGTTACCCTAGAGTAGAGGCAGTTCGGGCACTGCCAGGCTGCCTGAGGGCTGCTGACTGCTGTTTCTGGGCTGCCTGTAGAGCTGTACAGAAGGAAAGTAGACAGATCTGGGAGGAGGCCAAGAGTGAGAGCGAGGGAGTCAGACAGGAGCACAGTCCAAGCTGGTAATTATGCTAACTATCCAAGCAGCAACCCAAATTTGCTTATCTGGAGTACATTTGAATATGAATATAAAACCTAACCATTTCTTTCTGGTTTTAAAACCCTTGGTACAAGTTAAAATGAAGGTAGTTGAGCATACCGTATCTATTGTATCAACATACTGTAATTGTAGGTAAGGGCTCAGCAGTATAATTGTGTAAGTTAATTATTGAACTAAGAAGATTTGGGAGACCTTGCAGGGAGACCAGCAGCTAATCCAAAACCATACTATAAAATCTAAGGTAACCAATGAATAGTATTTACCTTCTGAAGCTCTTATCTATTCACTTGATTCATTACTACGCAAATGATGAAATGTATATTGTTTTTATCCAGGCAGGTCCTAACACACAATTCTATGTGAAATATCGAATACTAGAAACCACTTGTGCCACTGAGGAAAACAAACTCTGGCAAGACTGTGATTACAAAGTACCTGCAGAGGCTGTAAGTATCTGTCCTCTTTAGAAGGTCTCTCCGTACAGCAGCATCAGCATCATGACCAGGACTGCAGTTGCCTGGGGAAAAATACAGTAGAGAATTCAACTCTTTTAACTGTGTTGCTTTTGAGAGCTTATAGGACTAAAGTACATACAGAAATGTTTGCAACTCTAAAGTTAACCATTATAATCATGAGTTTACCATTATAATCCTGAATATGTGCAGAAGGGAACATTTCAGCTCTTCAAGATGAAGGTTCACAATAAATTCAACGGAAGATACATGCACTGTGGGAGTGTGAGGGCTGTAAAACTTTCTATTAATTATGTATAATGGAAACCTGCATAACCAAATTGACTTCAGATCTGCACCAACAAAGATACTGACATGGAAGCCACTATGGCAGGAAAAATTACCAGAGGGCTTTTAGCAGTGCAAAGCATATCTGGCTCATGCTACTAGAGAGCACCTAGAGAAGGTATGATTGGGGCACACACACATATAGCGTTCAGGATCGCTGCACATTTCAGTGGAAGTCACTATTATTTCACACAGTACACAGTGCAAAGAAAGGGATGATGGTGATAATATCATCTGAATAAATGATTTAAATGAAATGACATGGTCATTGCTGCTTATCTTGTACTAGCAGAGAGGAAGGTAGGTAAATAAACAATTTATAATGACTATTTACAAGGATATGTTTATTTTCATTATTCTGACTGTAAACAGTAAGTTAATACACATCAATCATGATACAAAGCAATCTCTCAAATTATCTGCTCAGTTCATTCCCTGCTCTCCTCACAATCAACAAACCAGCTCCTTTTCCAGTAACAAAACAGCAGATTGGACATTACTACAAATGTACATATGAACTTGTACCCCAAACTCAATTTCAACTGTCAACTTTGTTCAATACCTAGGAGAATATATAGCACACTATTTTTCTTCAGCAAATTTAAGACAAATGCTGTCATATGTTTTTGCAGAAAACAGGAGAATGCACAGCTCGAGTTCACTTGAATACTGATGAAAAAACAAGTAATGTTTCACAAGATTGCAAAATTTTTCCAGGTATGTAACTGTTTGGGGCAGCATTCAACAAGTACATCAACAAGTATGAATGGGAAAAATATAATACCGAGACTGTCAGGTGATTTTAAAGGTGGGACTTCCTTATCATTCTATTCAGACAATTTAAATAATCTTCCAGAAGCAACTACATGTTAAAGATAGAATTTCACTTTGCTGTTATACACATACAGGCTAAGTCAGTGACGCACTGGCAGTTTCTATCTAGGGTAATGAAAACCTGCACGTGCATGTGTACTAAGTTTCTTCAAACACTGGAATTATACCAAGTTAAAATGAATTTGCTTAAGACCATAAGCATATGAGTAACTTAGAGACTAGATATAACTTGTCACACTTTAATTTTCTGTCCTTACTTATAAAAGTATAAAATTGTGCCAGAAATTACTAGGAAAACACTTTTTATAACAAAATTGTACTTAAATTTTCTCAAAATTAAAAATGACTAAATTATTTGCTAAAGTTTACGAAAACGAGTATTTACTCCCAGCTAAAGAACAACAAAAAAAAAGTTTCAATTACAAAATAAAAATCTAGCAGTGATGTAATTATGTAAGAGAGACTGTGATATCTTTTAGACCTTAGCAATAAGCAGTACTATATTTCTTGCCTACATAGTAATACATAGTAGGTTCCTTTATTAGAAAGAAATCACATTGTTTTAAAGCTTTGTAACTGAGATCTCTATATGCCTATGTCTAGTGTTCATGTACAATATACCCAAGCTAGTTTTAAAATATCCATTCAACTGGTAGCGGGAAGCTAAATGCATATTAACTAGAGAAGCATTTAACATGATTTCTGAGATGTTTGGCAGCTTATCTTTGTTTTTTGTTCTTAGTTATCGTGTTTAAAGCTTCAGTGGCTGTACCTACAGCCGGTGTCCTCCTAGGAACTGCAGTACACACAAACTCCATGTTCTGCTACTGAATAAACACCGTTTACTTCAGACACATTTGTAGGGCAATGGTGACATCTAGTTGCCAGTAAAAGATGTGAGAATCCCACAGAGAATGCACGGGAAATCTGCATTTGAATCCTTGCTTAGAAACCTAAAGAAACATACATAAATTAAATGAATCATCTATTCAGCCTCAGAAGCTCATCTCTTCTTAACAAGTTATAGCAGCTCTGAAAAAAAATACACATTTGTTCAGCACTTATGAAAATGCTGAGACCATAGTCGGTTTAGAACTGGGTGTGTTGTTGTTTTATTATCTCCTTCATGATTACTCCCTGAAAGCACAGTCACGTTTTTCTGTAACATGTCTATATTTGTCATTACTGAGTCAAAATAAGTGATGCTAGAAATACAAAGGTCCAGACTTTGTTCACGTATCCTTTAGAGAGCTAGGACTAAATAGTAATGCTTACACTGAGATATTAAAAATGTATAGAGAAGCCAAATCAAATCCAAAGGATTCAAACAGAAAGAGAGAAACAAGAGACCCGAACTGGTGAGGGATTTGCCCAACATGTTTGGTACCACACTGCTCAGCCTTCTTGGTGGAACAGTTTAATCATACTGACCCTGGACTGGTTTTCTGGCTGGTGCAAGCTGGCATAACTCCATTAAAGCCAATTTATGCCAGCTGAGGATCAGGCACACAAATTTTACTTCAATTCCACAGAGACCACATATTGTCCTACTTTCATTCTCAAGCTCGCTGAATCATGAAATTAATTTATGTACTGAACTATAAAATTAATTTATGAAAATCCAATCCATGATTACTAGAAGGGAAAGAGAGTTAATAGGATTAGTAGTAGGAAACAGAAGTTTGAGCATCACCGTCAAGCTTGTCCATCCACAGCCAATCCAGTTGGTTAAGCCTGAAGGTAACACCGAGTGGTAACTGGCAGCCATCGTGACTAGCAGGGGGAGTTCAAACAACACAGCAATAGAATAGTTCAACTACAGTCCCTAAGGAGCTCAGAGTCAGAGCAGTTCACATGGGTGAGCCAAAACATCCTGCCAAAGTCCCCATCCTGTCCACGGTGAGGACAGTAAGCAGCTGCACGCAGTGGGTATGCTTTGAAGAATCTGAAGAACATCTCCTTAGTTACAGCTGGTTCTTCCCTGACTGTATGAGAGGTGACCTTTCTTTAATGGTGTCAAAACTACATGCAAGGTTTTTCAGAGATTCATTGACTCCTGAACTCACTTGTTTCTCTGAATGAAGCTTGCCACCGAAACCCTGAATCCTCATATCACAGATGGCCCCTACAACCACAAACCAAAACATGTTTCTAAATACAATGAATGTCTTTGCAGGTCTTGAAACTGAAATGTGGGCTTTGCTGATCACTCCAATTAAAAGCAGGAAAGGTTCTTGCTCATTGAACCTTTTCTCTCATTCCCAGATAGGAAAAATTAAAACCTGAGGCTGTTTTACATGAAGTCCTATATTTTTGTTTGTTTGTTTCTTTTCCAGCTGCAGTAAAGATACCACTTGCTGAGGCTGCATGTCTTGGATGTTTTCATCCTATATCAACTGACAGTTCAGAAGTGTCAGAAATTCTGAAACAAGCCATTGAAAAGTTTAACAGGCACAGTGCTGAATCCGCCCTTTTTAAGCTTGTGGAAATAAAAGAAGCTCAAAGACAGGTTTGTGTATGATTTTCTCTAAATTTAAAACAACAAAACAAAACAAACCCAGGTACCTTAGTAGTTTTATGTACACATTTCTGATTTTAAGGTGGTTTATATTTCATAATAAAATCATATGAAATAAATCTACTATGTAGACCCTGTAAATAATTCTCTTGATTTATAAGGAATCATAAACGGTTATGTACTGGATTTTCAGAGCTGTCAACTTTACAAATTGATAGCAACCATATTTTTCTTTATCTGCAGTTGCATCTAACCAGCGTTTAGCACCAGTTTGTTTGCCTTCAGTGCTGACACAGGCATCTTGTGTCATCTCAGATGCACTTGAATATTCCACTTGGCCTCTCCCTGAAGCTCCAGCAGGAGCAGATCTCTCCTAGGTTCCGTGCCAAAACTGCCAGCCTGCACAGATGTCTCGTATATCTGCAGCCTCTCAAACAGCAGCAGGCAGCTATGTTTTTGCAATGCAATAGGACCCATATGTCAGCAGCTGTTGTACACTATAGGATGGGTAAACCCCATATAGGAAAAATGGTTATGAAAAACAAAAAGCCAGCATGTCACTTGCTGAAAGATTTCTGCACACAGGAATACCTGCTTTGCAAGAAATGACAGCTCAGGTCACAGAAATTCTGTCATATGGTATTCTATGGAACAATTATTCCCCTGTGAAAGGCTCTCCTATGAATTGGTGTGATGCTGCTAGAAAGTAAAGATTCTTACTTGGTTTTTAACTAGTATATAACCCCACACTAAATATAAATACAGTTTTCTTTGAATGTGTATGTACTTACTTAGCCAAAAAGCATCTTGTGGTATCACGTCAATCTGACCCATGATTTAATCCACACTGTCCTTTTTCTATTTACTGATGGCAACGATCCTCTTAACCAAAAGACAAGCTTACACAACGTTTAAGCCACATGACAAAATGTCACAGACAGACTGCAATCCAGCAGCTGGAAAGAGAACCATCATGTCACTTCTGGCCAACAAAGACTAGTCAGAGCCCTCCATATTAATTGATCCAGGATGAAAAGTTCCTATATTTGATTTTTATTTCCCCTTTTTAATCCAATGCTCCCTGACCCAACACTGTGCCATGCAGAGATTTCATGGCTGAGAAGCAATAGCCACAGTGAGGAAAACCGAACTGCTTCCTGAAGAGAAAGTGGAAAAAAAAGGGTCACAAATCTGGAGAAAAAAGCAGGCGAGGAAGGTAAAGCCCAAGACAGACACAATTATAGGTAGATGATAAATACAGGACCCTCAATAACAAATGATGCCAGCAGTATAAAGTCACATTATTCAGATACTGTTTTACTATGTCCCACGCTCAGGAACACAGGACTTGCCAAGCTGTATTAGTGTAGTCATCTATCTAGACCAGCTTCCTGCCACTGGGAGTAATAAGTAACAGATACTTTAGAGGAAAGTGCAAGAAGAAACCAAGTATTATGAGGCTGCAGGCTTGCCAGAAGTGGAATTCAAATACAAAGTGCACTTCTAATATATGCATGACTTTTAGTTTACTTTTTGTATCACAAGGACAAGACTTTTTTTGCTGTCCATGAATACTCTATGGCTCAGTGACTGCAAAGTGATTTGATGGATGGAAGGCACTATAATAGTTTTGCTTTCTTTCTAATCACATTTAATAGTTTAACTTCCAACGTTGTATTGTTTTACATAATGTATCTCCTAAACATCTGTTCCAGGTGGTAGCTGGATGGAATTACATAATTAAATATGAAATTGAGGAGACTAATTGCTCCAAAGACCAATTTCAAGATTTAACTCCAGAGTGCAAACCCACTTCGAGAGGTGTAAGTAATCTTCAAAATATCTTCACCAAGAAAATATCATAACATTATATCATATAACATAACATATATCATTAACAAATATTCATTGACATCTGACTCAAGAAAATATTTATAGTCTTATTTGACTTTGAATGAAGTTTAAATCTAGACATAGATAACTGTCTATTTATGCAATTAGAACATCCATGTCTTCTCCTGAATCAGTGACTAAGACAACCATGGAAATGTTTATAGATTACTCTACGGAATCTAAACAGTCTCACACAAATAATAAATCCCTTGAGAAGCTCCTATCCATATATTCAAGCTATTCAGGTACAACCCAAAAAGAGATAATCAAATTATCTCAATTTTTCCATCTTAAGACATATTTTCTAAGAAAAGTAAGTAGCTGAACTAGTACTTAACCTCTACCACAGTCCAAATTAGAGAGCTTTGAAAGAAGTTTATTAACAAACATACATACTCTAGCTAAACAGTGATGCAAACCCAGGTACTTCCTCAACTTCTCTGACCTGTAACAGAATTAAATGTACTAAAAATAGAGGGTTTGTGGCTGTCTACTCCCCTCCACCCCCTTCTTCTTAAAGCAACAGCCACCAGTGGTGGTCGTGATGGCTGCACCTGGTTTAAGTTGGACTCTAGGGAGACATGACGCAATAGATAAGGCTATAAATCTTGCTCAACAGCTGAGGGCTAGTTGAGCATGTGGCAACCAAAATATGTCTGGTATGCAAATATGACTGTAAGGCAATCACCTTACTCTATAAATAGTGGGTAGCCCCAGGGCTGATGGTGCTCTCCTGCATGGCAGCAGGCTGCACACCAGGCTCTCCCCTTGAGTAGGGACACTTCTTAAGGTTACTCCTCGAGGTTGAGAGAATCATTATCACATCAGATACTTGGTAAGTGAATTGGGAATAAGTATGCTTTAACTTTGAAATCTTAGCTAAGTGATGTAAAAGATTGAGTGCGCACACCTAATCCTTTAGACATAAACCATTGACCAAGTCTGGGACTAGGATTGGATCCAGCCACACCCAGACTCCTCTCTGACAAGGAGTTCAGAAAGCAAGGGTATCCATTCTGAACATCATGATTCAATGGAAGGGAGTCCCTGACAGTTTTGTCTGACCCTGTCCCCTATGCAGTAAAAATCAAGCATACCTTGCCATGGAGTCTTGTTAAACCACTGTCGCATTTACTATCAAACTTTGGTTTATATCAGTAAACATACTGCTGCTCTCTCCTATGAGCGAAGTGCATCACTCCATCCACAGCAGGGTTGCCCTCTCAACCAAGCTCCCTGAACCAGCTCATCAGGGGGTCAGATAAATGCTTCTGCAAATACAAGGTAGAGGGCAGGAACACAGAGTCATAATGAACAGTGGTGGTAAACGGGAGGGGAGGAACCACAGGAGTCCTGACTCGTGCCTGTTTCAGCTGTTGTGGAAGTATACTGTTGAGCGTGACATTCAAGAGCCTCTCCTGTTCAAAAACTACTCCTTGGATATCTCAAGAATGTTTCAGAAGCATTGATCAAAAAAGGAAAGAATGACAACACTGTGGTATAAAATAGGAGAGTGAGAATCAGACTAGCTGAAGCAAGTCTCTCCGTTACCTAGGCTTGCTCTTAAACCTTAAGCTCATTCACATACTGCTTTGATCATTCAGGGTTTGTGGGATTGGATCTTTATTACTTATCCTCCAAACCATTAAGCAGCCTTGCTAATAAATCATTGACAGGCATTAGTAAATATGATATTCCAAAAGTATGCTATACCTTAGAATGAACAAATTCCATGGAAGTTGTTTCATACCCTTATTCAGCTCTGTACTACTCATTCTGAAATAGGAAACTAGAATTGCACCCTGTATTCAACACGCATGTGAACCACAGAGCTATAGTGGGGCATAATGTCATTCTCCCTAACCTGGATAATAAACCTTGACTTTTTTTTTTTTTAATTACTTTTTCTAAACAACTACTAAACAGATTTTTTATGGATGACATTTTATAAGTATCTGTCATAGCCCTAAGATCTTGAATTGTTACAGTCACCGTCTTCTACAGTTGATTAGTTTCCTTTAGAGTCTTTAATAAGGGACTTCACTGAAACCATTTTGAAAATGTACATATACTTTATCAACAGGTCTCTTTATTCACTTTTGCTGATGCTTTTGAAGAACTTTGACAAATCTGCAAAATATGACTTCTGTTTACAACAAAACCCAGTTCTCTCCTTGATGTATTCGCACCCCCTAGTTCTTTCCTTATTACCATTTCTAATCACTTGAATGGTACAGATATCAGTTTTGTAGGTCTATAACCTTTTTAAAACAGAACAGGATCAGCATCTGCTTTCTTCCAGCCCTAAGATATCAAAGCAATTTTAAGCTAGTCATCTACTACAGTACCTTTAGAACACCTGACTAAATGCAAGAAACTCTATAATATTTGTTTTGTTAATTGCATAATCTTCTTTTTCATCTTTACAGTTTGAGACAGAAATTTCAGTGAGTCCTCCATAAAATAGGACTCTGGCTTGAAAACCTCCCCCTTTCCTTCTGTAATGAACACATACAAATAGTTCATTTAGCTTCTCTTTTATGGTTTTATTTTCTCAGAGTGGTCCTTTCGAACATTGATCATTTGTTGGCTCTGCAGACTGTCTTCTTGCTCTGCAGGCTTCTTGCTCCCCATATATTAAAGGAAGGAAGGAATTAGTAGTAGTATGCTTGACATTCTGTTAGCAGGAAGGTATTAGGATGTGAACTTGTTCATTATTTCTAAATAATGAGGAGCTCTTTTGGATTTTTTTTTATTCCAGCGTGTAGGTAAATGCGATGCCAAAGCATATAAAAATCTTCAGGCACAGATCATAGATACTGCAAGCCAATGCAAGTTTCCAGGTATGTCATAGGCACTATCAATTTTAAAAGTTCTGCAATTTTCTGGGCTTTACAATTGTATAAAAAAAAAAAAAAAAGACAAAATTAAAATGCAAGGGATGAAAATGGATGATAATAACAGGAGAAAGTAATTCTTCCGTGACCAGAAAAGCACGGCCTCTTAATGAAATATTACCACAGATTTTTTTTCACCTCCTACAAGTATTTCATATGCAGCCAAAAGTTACATTTTATCATTTGTATACTACCCTGTTTCTAGGACATGGAGCTAGTTGCTGACTCTCATTTGGAGATTAAAAGATACAAAGAGTATAACAATCCTACAAAAATTAATTATTTTCCACCACAATGACAAGCAAGTTAACATCACGTTGTTTAAATAAGTAACTTCTAACTTTCCAAAGGGCTCCAGTGTACTCTTTTGAAAGGCAAAGGAGCTGAGGACTTTAAGATTTTGTCCAAAATTGATAATTCACCTATTGATACTATCACTGTTTATTTCATATTGCATGGTTATATTTACATTTGATATGTTAGAGGCTTCTTCCCCCCCCCCCCCCC